CCTCCTCCTCCTCTTCCCTCTCAGTCATCCTCCTCAGCCATCCTCCTCAGTCCTCCTCAGTCCTCCTCCTCAGTCCTCCTCCTCCTGGGTCCTCCTCCTCATCCTTCTCATCAGTCCTCCTCCTCCCCAGTCCTCTCCCAGTCCCCCTCCTTCTCCTCCTCCTATTCAGTCCTCCTCCTCCTCCTCCTCCTCAAGTCCTCAGTTCTCATAGAACCCAAAAAGGACAGGACATAGGTGGACATAGGCGGACATAGGCGGACATAGACGGACATAGGCGGACATAGACGGACATAGGCGGACATAGGCGGACATTAATGGACACCTAAATTGCTAAATAAAATGTTCAATTTTTGCTGTTATAGGGGGATCATGTTTTTTGTCCGTTCGGTACCCTATATTTTCAAAACGGACAAAAAATAGAGCGGACAAAAACGGACAAAAACGGACAAAAACGGAAATAACATTTAGATGCTTCCTCCTCCTACTCTTCCTCCTCCTCCCCCTGGGTCTTCCTGATCTTCCTCAGTCCTCTTCCTCCTCCCCTCCTCAGTCCTCCTCCTACTCCTCCTCCTCGTCATCAGTCCTCAACAGTCCTTCTCCTCCCCAGTCCTCATCCTCCTCCTGAGTCCTCCTCCTGGGTCCTCCTCCTGGGTCCTCCTCCTCCTCTTCATCCTCCTCCTCTTCCTCCTCAGTCCTCAGTCCTCCTCAGTCCTCAGTCCTACTCAGTCCTCAGTCCTCCTCCTCATCCTTCTCCTCAGTCCTCCATCCTCCTCCTCAGTCCTCCCCCAGTCCCCCTCCTCCTCCTCCTATTCAGTCCTCCTCCTCCTCCTCCTTCTCAGTCCCCCTCAGTCCTCCTCCTCCTCCTGAGTCCTCCTCCTCCTCTTCCCTCTCAGTCATCCTCCTCAGCCATCCTCCTCAGTCCTCCTCAGTCCTCCTCCTCAGTCCTCCTCCTCCTGGGTCCTCCTCCTCATCCTTCTCATCAGTCCTCCTCCTCCCCAGTCCTCTCCCAGTCCCCCTCCTTCTCCTCCTCCTATTCAGTCCTCCTCCTCCTCCTCCTCCTCAAGTCCTCAGTTCTCCTGAGTCCTCCTTCTCATTTCTCCTAAGGCCTCCTCCTGAGTCCTCCTCCTGAGTCCTCCTCCTGAGTCCTCCTCCTCTTCCTTCTGAGTCCTCCTCCTGAGTCCTCCTCCTCCTCCCTCTCAGTCATCCTCTTCAGTCATCCTTCTCAGCCATCCTCCCCAGCCATCCTCCTCGGCCATCCTCCTCAGTACTCCTCCTTCTCAGTCATCGTCAGTCCTCCTCCTCAGTCCTCCTCAGTCCTCCTCCTCCTCCTGGGTCCTCCTCCTGGGTCCTCCTCCTCCTCCTGGGTCCTCCTGGGTCTTCCTGATCCTCCCCAGTCCTCTTCCTCCTCCCCTCCTCAGTCCTCCTCCTACTCCTCCTCCTCGTCCTCAGTCCTCTTCATCAGTCCTCAACAGTTCTCCTCCTCCCAAGTCCTCCTCCTCCTGGGGCCTTTTCCTGGGTCCTCCTCCTCCTGGGTCCTCCTCCTCCTGGGTCCTCCTTCTCCTCCTCAGTCCTTCTCCTCCTCCTCCTCAGTCCTCTTCCTCCTCTTCCTCCTCCTCCTCCCTCTCAGTCATCCTCCTCAGCCATCCTCCTCAGCCATCCTCCTCCTTCTCAAGTTCTCAGTCCTCCTCCTGAGTCCTCCTCCTCCTCAGTCATCCTCCTCAGTTCTCCTCCTCCTCCTCCTAGGTCCTCCTTCTGGGTCCTCCTCCTCCTGGGTCTTCCTGATCCTTCTCCTCCCTCTCAGTCATCCTCCTCAGTCATCCTCCTCAGTCATCCTCCTCAGCCATCCTCCTCAGCCATCCTTCTCAGCCATCCTCCTCAGTACTCTTCAGTACTCTTCAGTACTCTTCAGTACTCTTCAGTCCTCAAAATGTTTGTCCGCTAATGTCCACCAATGTCCGCTAATGTCCACCAATGTCCATCCAAGTCCGCCAATGTCCGTCCGGGTCCGCCAATGTCCGTCCAAGTCCGCCAATGTCCGTCCGAGTCCGCCAATGTCCGTCCGAGTCCGCCAATGTCCGTCCGTGTCCGCCAATGTCCCAAAAAACACGTCCGTTGTCTCATAGAATCCAAAAAGGACAGGACATAGGCGGACATAGACGGACATGACACCCCCCCACAACTACATGTAAAACGACTACACATGAAATGAGGAAAATGAAAAAGTACAACAACAGAATCATCCAGGTGGAAAAGGCACCTTTACCCCACTTATATACTCAACAAATGGCGGATGGGGTCCACAAGCCACAAGATACCACAAGAGACTCGCTGAAAAACTATCCCAGAAGAGAGGAGAAGACTATGCGGCTATTATGTGTTACATGCGCACCAGGATTAGATTCTCAATCCTCAGGAGCACCCTGATAGCGGTCAGGGGTGAGAGAGGGAGACGGCAATCGTATACATTACCAGTCAGTGTAACTTCGTTTAACTTGATACCTGCCACCATGGACTATGAATGTTTCTAGACACTAGTGTCGACACTATCCTTTTGATATTGAGATATTGGTATCTCAGATCACGTGCACATCGTTCCTTTTCTAAACGGACAAAAACGGACAAAAATGGAAATAACGTTTAGATGCTTCCTCCTCCTACTCTTCCTCCTCCTCCTCCTGGGTCTTCCTGCTCTTCCTCAGTCCTCTTCCTCCTCCCCTCCTCAGTCCTCCTCCTCCTCCTCGTCCTCAGTCCTCAACAGTCCTCCTCCTCCCCAGTCCTCCTGATCCTCCTCCTCCTGAGTCCTCCTCCTGGGTCCTCCTGCTCCTCTTCATCCTCCTCCTCTTCCTCCTCAGTCCTCCTCCTCATCCTTCTCCTCAGTCCTCCATCCTCCTCCTCAGTCCTTCCCCAGTCCCCATCCTTCTCATCCTATTCAGTCCTCCTCCTCCTCCTCCTCAGTCTTCTCCCAGTCCCCCTCCTTCTCCTCCTCCTATTCAGTCCTCCTCCTCCTCAGTTCTCCTCAGTCCTTCTCATTTCTTCTAAGTGCTCCTCCTGAGTCCTCTTCCTCCTCTTCCTTCTGAGTCCTCCTCCTCCTCCTCCCTCTCAGTCATCCTCCTCAGCCATCCTCCTCAGCCATCTTCCTCAGTCCTCCTCCTTCTCAGTCATCCTCAGTCCTCCTGAGTCATCCTCCTGAGTCCTCCTCCTCCTCCTCCTTCTGGGTCCTTCTCCTGGGTCTTCCTGATCCTCCCCAGTCCTCTTCCTCCTCCCCTACTCAGTCCTCCTCCTACTCCTCGTCCTCGGCCTCAGTCATCCTCGTCAGTTAAAGCTATTAATAGCTTTAGTGTGATTAATAAGTCGTTTGCTTTGTACAAAATTATAATACATAGAAGTTGCGACAAATTCTCAAAATGTTTGTCCGCTAATGTCCACCAATGTCCGTCTGTGTCCACCAATGTCCGTCCGGGTCCGCAAATGTCCGTCCGAGTCCGCCAATGTCTGTCCCAGTCCGCAAATGTCCAAAAAAAACACGTCCGTTGTCTCATAGAATCCAAAAAGGACAGGACATAGGCGGACATAGACGGACATAGACGGACGTGACACCCCCCCCCCCACAATAAGGGGCCATAATTGTCTCAATTATGTAACTGTATAGATTTATTATTATTATTATTAGAACGACCCAATGTAGCACTGGTGTTTGGATTCCATCGCCGGTATCTGCACAGTTCTATAATGTAGCATGTTGAGCATTCTCAAACAACGAATGTGTGAACTCCTTATTTTAGATAATGAAAATCTTTTTTAAAATAACTGGCTACAATGAGCATTTTAATATCAATAAATAGTAGAGATAAAAAACTTTAATTTCCAACAGAGAGATTTATAGAAACACACCTAACAAATTTTACTCTGCTAACAAGCTATTAAAAACATTAATAGTTTCGTATAAAATTAAGATCTAAACAATTACTGCCCTTCAAAAATTAATAAAAATGTTTATGTAACCAAAATATTTGACTTTACCAGTCTCTTGACGTTTTAAAATGAAACTGAGGTTGAAGATGCAGTTATAAAAGGCCAATGGTTACTGAAACAAACTTTATCCAAAATAAAAGTTTTAAAGCAGTCCATATCTGCTTTCCTGTGAACTAAACAGCTCAAATAGAAAATCTCATTCCCTTGTTATTACAACAATATTTAATTTAAAGGTGTTTGTTTTCAAACAAACATAGTCCAATAACACTATACTACACTTCAATATACTTGGTATTTCATCCTTTATCATAACAGTAGCAAAATCAGCAAAATTAAGTGCTATAATAAATCATTATCTTTTCGAAAGATAATGATAATAATAATGACCAACTTTTGTAGATAACACAGTCTCTACGCCTTTATCCTTTGGCCCCTACTAGGCCTAGGGTTAGCTGACTCCGGGCCAGAGGAAAATTATCGACTGCCAAGGTTTGATGCCTAGGCAGTCGAGACCTCTTATTGAGATCCGATATAATAATAATAATCTTCCATGGCAACCTGTTTGCCTTTTGGTATGTCCTATTCCATACACTAGAATGGGCAAAAATCTCGGCTGCAAATTAGATCAGGTATACGTTAAAACTCATAAACAGCCGCGATGATTGATATGAAAACTAATTATAATACCAAAAACATATGTTGTAAAATTTAAATGATTATTGCAAGTATCTGCTAATGCATGGGCACTAAGCAAGTTTGGTAATTGGTGTACTCAGTGTGTTGGTACTGTCAAATATCATGCCCCAGTTGCATTGCCATGCAGTGCAGTACACCCCAATCTCAATGTATTTTGCCACCTAATTTGAAAAGCAGATAAACCTAAGAACTCATTTGAATACCTCCCTTACTGAATTGACAGTAGCTCCCCTCATCATTTGACTCGTCTGCTTAGCCTGACTAGTCAATGTATACTTTAATGTGTAAGCACCTTTGATATAAACATTTTGTTAACAATGGATAACATTTCAGCTGATGAACTATGTTTTCAACTGCTCACAATCCCAACAAAGATCATGAAGTGAGTCAGCCACCTAATGACAGCATATCCTCTTTATCATTCTCACCAGCAGCTGACTTTCTTGTTGCAGGAAGCTGGGACAATTGTGTGAGATGTTGGGAGGTTAAACAATCAGGAACAACTCTTCAATCTGAGCCTAAAGCAGAACAGCAGCAAGCAGGACCTGTTATGTGCTGTTGTTGGTCAGCAGATGGAACTAAGGTGTTTTCTGGCAGCTGTGACAAGAGTGTAAAAATGTGGGACTTAAACTCCAATAGCTTTACTCAAGTTGCAGCGCATGACGCTCCTGTAAAGACAGTCAATTGGGTACAAGCTCCAAATTATCAGTGCCTGATGACCGGTAGTTGGGATAAAACTCTTAAATTCTGGGATACCCGTCAGGCTCAACCCATGATGACTATTAATTGTGAGGAGCGAGTGTATGCTAGTGACGTTGTTTATCCGGTAGCAGTTTCTATTTTAGCTGGAAGAAAAGTCAAAATATTGAACTTAGAAAATCAGCCCACTGTGCATAATACAATGGAGCCTCCACTCAGGTATCAACTCAGAGACATTTCTATTTTCAAGAAAGAGGGAAAACCTGCTGGATTTGGTGTTTGCAGCATTGAAGGCAGGGCAGCAATTGAGCCATTTGATAACACTGCTGCAAACAGTAAGGATAAATTTACGTTTAAATGCCACAGATCAATCGTAAGTGACCATCATAAACCTCAGGACATATATGCTGTCAATGGAATTAAGTTCCATCCAATCCATGGCACTCTCGCGACTATTGGTAGTGATGGGAAGTTCAGTTTCTGGGACAAAGATGCCAGAACCAAGCTTAAGACTGGAGAGCAATTAGATAACACCATTACATGTTGTGATTTTAACCACACTGGTACCTTCTTTGCATATGCTTCATCATATGACTGGTCTAAAGGTCATGAATTTTACAACCCTCAACAGAAGAACTACATCTTTGTGCGTCAAGTTAAAGATGAATTAAAACCTAGAAAGAAATAGTCCCTCTGAGCTTAATCTGTTAATTTAGAGTGTAATTCTGATCATGTGACATGCACATAATTGAAGGACAACTTTGCCTTAACGTACATGTGACAGTGTTTTTATTTACAATGATTTTAGCCATAAAATAGTGTGAGAAGGTATACTATTAATTGTTTAAGAGTTTTAATATTTTATAGATTGTTTAAAGTATGGAAAAAGAGTAGAAATCAATAGGTACAAGGTTTAATGGGTTTAATCTCGACAATTCGAAGAAGAATATCGCTGCTAAATAACATAATATTATGATTTAATTTATATTCAATTGTTCAATGTTTTCACAACTTGTAATTTGCATGTTTACCTTAAGACAATAAAAAATTAAATTGTTTCTCCTTGAATGAAAATATAATCCAACACTTCTCTTGAGTACGTGACATTACAATTTTATATCACAATGGAAGTATTATCAGACAGTTTTATATAATCAAGCCTGCACTTTATTTCTCAATATCTTCATGACACCAAATATCTTGTAGGAGATGGCTGACATGCAGGACCAGTTTTCAGCATTGCTGGAGACATTAGCTAGTCCAGACAATGAAGCAAGAAACAGGGGAGAGGAGCAGTATAATGCCATACCTATCGATCAAAGGCTCAATCTGCTCCTGGGATCTATTGAAACCTCTCCTTCTGTCACCCTCCGGTTTGTTACTTGTTATTACTACTTAAATTCCAGGTTAGCTGTTACTATCATCAGATATCGATCATGACTATCTGATGTCCCAATAAGCTGTATAATATGCGAAATTATGCACTATGTACCTATGGTATTGATTGGTTGTTGCTTTGATCGTATCTTTAATCATCGATTCCAGTTTATTGCCTTATTGACGATTCCATACATTTCAGAGCGTTTGCAGCTATTCTACTGAGAAGATTGCTAACTAACTCGTGGGAGGTGTTTGCTGTCAGTCCCGTCGAAACTCAAAACATGTTCAAGTTGAAGCTTCTAGACGTGAGTTATAGTTAAATTAGCTCAAAGTTTCATGTATAAATATTATGTTTAAGTTTACAAATAATAAATAGAAAGTTTCGATGTAATCCATAATTACATATTCATCAAATTCATGATCTCAAATTATTATATAGTAGTGTTGAAAATACAATTGAATTTTCCTGGCCCTTAAAGAGACAGTGCAGTAGTGTTGAATGAATTGAAACTGTGATATATGTTCATATTATGTAATAATATGCCTGGTGCTTGTAGTTACCTCTCCACTTCTTCAGTTACTGAAGCGTGAGACAGATGAGAGTGCTCGTAAGAAGTTGAGTGACACAGTGTCTGAAGTAGCCAGGAATCTACAGGATGGAGAGGGAAACATGAACTGGGACGAACTTCTTAAGTTTATGTTCAACTGCTGCAACTCGGGCACTGCCCAACACAAGGAGTCTGCCCTATCCATCCTCAACTCTGTGCCTGATATTTTCGGTTCAGCTCAGCAGAATTACATGGGTCTGATCAAGGAAATGCTGTTTGCTTCGCTGAACGATCCCGACAATCCTAACGTGAGGTTTGCAGCTATACGTGCCACCTGCGCTTTCCTCACCGGACTTGAAGAGGACGAGGCAAAGCGTAATTTTACTGACTTCTTGAAGCCAATGTTGAAAGGTGTAGAGGATTGTGTTGTAGCTGAGGATGATGATGGTCCTCTGAAGAGTTTTGTGGAGCTGGCTGAGAAGTTGCCCAAGTTCTTGAGACCAGGGTTGGATCAGCTGATGGAGTTTGCTCTGAGAGTCATCGCTAACACAAACTTTGCTGACAATTGGCGACAGCTTGTTCTGGAATTGGTCATAACCATCTGTGAAGCTGCTCCTGCTATGATCCGGAAAAAGGTTTGTTGTGAATTTGAAGTCTAGTTTTTCTGATCCCATTATCTGATAAATAGATTTTATTGGAATTCGACGACACTATTATAGTCTGTATTAATTTGTTTTAAATAGTTACATTGTAGTAAATAATTAATCGTCACACTGCATGTTTTGTGTCCCCCATGCCATGTTAATCACAACTATTATGTTATCAGGACAAGTACATTTCCCCACTGGTCGTACAAATGTTACAAATGATGACAGATTTAGAAGACGAAGAAAACTGGGCCATGGAGGATGAAGTTGAGGACGTTGACAGTGATGTAAGTTCTCTTAGGATGAAAATTTGAACATTTAATTCGCGAGTTTGATGATCGATGATCATGTATAATATTCACGAGTTGATGATGTATAATATTGGGTTCACATTTGGCATTCCAGTGAACAAAAGTTGTGGATATATACCTACTTTGCTAATCAGTCTGAATCCTCAGGAGAATTGTGTAGCAGCAGAAGCAGCATTAGACCGACTAGCCTGCGCCCTTGGTGGTAAGATGGTGATGCCCCACATCATCCAGGCGGTCCCTCCTATGTTACAATCTAAAGAGTGGAAACACAGATACGCTGGTCTCATGGCTATATCGGCCAGTGCTGAAGGTTGCAAAAAAGCAATGGAAGCAAATCTCCAGGGCATCGTAATGGCGTGTCTTCCTTACGTTGCAGACGAGCATCCCAGAGTTAGATTTGCGTGTTGTAATGCCCTAGGACAGATGGCAACTGATTTCTCTCCTCTATTCCAAAAGAAGATGCATGACAAGGTCCTGCCCGGGTTAATACACTTGCTTGATGACGATGCTCACCCGAGGGTACAAAGTCACACTGCAGCCGCACTTGTTAACTTCTTTGAGGAGTGTCCACAGAATGTGCTCCTACCTTATCTTCCCAATCTCTGTCAGGTTAGCTTGAGAAGTTAAGAAATTAGATCACTATAAAATTATCATGTTATAACGCGTCATGTTGACGCTTCTTTATACATAGAACTTGTGTTATTAGTTATAATATTGTTTTGTATACACGCACACATACTAACAAGCACTAATAAGCTGATATCCTCATATTCCAGAAAATGCAAGCTACGTTAGAAAAGAAGACAATGGAACTGGTACAAACGCATCGCAAACTGGTACTTGAACAGATAATAACAACAATAGCAACGATAGCCGACACAGCAGAAAACCACTTTACGCCTTTCTACCAGAGTTTTATGCCAAACTTGAAGTACATCATGGAAAATGCCAACGACAAGGAACTGAGGTAAAGCATCTGAACAAGTTGATTGTTTTTTTTGTAAACTAAGAGTTCGTCTCACTTGTCCGTAGAATTGGTGTCAAGTTATCGCTGTCTAACTAGCGCTCAACCCTGTCAGGTTATTACGAGGTAAAACAATCGAGTGTATCTCACTTATTGGGCTTGCTGTAGGAAAAGAGGTTTTTCTCTCAGATGCAGAACAAATCATGAACATGTTGCTGAAAGCACAAACCGACGAAGGCGAGCAGTTGGAGGCAGATGACCCACAAGTATCCTACATGATCAGTGCGTGGGCACGTATGTGCAAGATAATCGGACCTCAGTTCACCGCCTACCTACCAATGGTGATGCCCCCTCTCCTGCGAGCTGCTCAGATAAAACCGGAGGTTGCTTTAGTAGACTCGGACGACCAGGTGGACGAGGACGAAGGCTGGGAGTTTGTTCCTCTGTCAGACCAACAGAAGTTTGGAGTGAAGACTGCAGGACTGGAGGATAAGAACACTGCTTGTCAGATGTTGGTGTGTTACGCGCGGGAGCTCAAGGAGGGTTTTGCGGGGTATACTGAACAAGTGGTGAAGATCATGGTGCCGCTGTTGAAGTTCTACTTCCATGATCTGATAAGATCGGCTGCTGCTGAATCTCTTCCCTTTCTGTTGGAGTCTGTTAAACACAAGGTCAGTTGAATTTTACTATTAATTAACTGGTTATTAGGCTGTTCCCTAGGAGTACTTACTAAAGTCAAATATTGCTTTGTAGTCTGTATTAAATACTGATTTCCTAATTAAGCTTGACAAAAATACAGCTTTGCTTTGTCAATTGTACAAATGTATCCTCTTAGTAGAGACCAGGACATGTACCACACATGAAAGTCCTTTGCCCGCGTGCGCGTTAATAGGTCTGTAAGTGGTTTATTTACTGTTAGATTTAATACAATCTAGTAAGAATATATTATTATATAATATAATGTGTATGATTTATACAGACTTTCCCGTCTTTGCTTATTAGCTGTATCTTTAAAGTCTGCACAAACCCCTTACTTAAAACCATATCAACAGGGAGACGACTATGTTAGAGACATGTGGAATTACATCTGCCCAGAGTTATTCAAGTCTCTCCAGACGGAGATGGAGCCTGACATTCTAGCTGTTGTAATGGAGAGTGTAGCCACTTGTGTTGAGGTATGATCAGCAACCATCTCGTGAATTCTAATAGTAGTAAGTAGATAATAATACACATGGCACCAAGGTAGACCGTTTCTTCTCATCCATAATCAGGACATGATTTAACTCAGGATAAGCCTATGTGTAGTCTGTGAATAATGTATATTTTGATTTTGGGAATGTAAGCTGTATTCCGGGAATCGGAAGTGTTACTTGGTAACTGTGTAGTTAAAGAGATTTGATGTGCTAAACGAAAATATTATTTCAGGTTTTGGGAGTTGGATTTATAGACGGTTTGCAGATGGAGGAACTGGTGGAGGCGATGAAGAATCATTTGAAGAAGAACTATGATAAGGAGGAAGAAAGAAAAAATGCGAGGAAAGATGAAGATTATGACGAGGAAGTGGAGGAAGGAATCGAGGAAGAATTGGACCAGGATGACTATCTTTTGGGCAAAATAGCGGACATCATTCACAATCTTTTCGGTATGGAAGTCTTTCTTTTAATTACCGATCTTTCTCTCGCTCTGCCTAATGATAGCCTGTGTGTTTTCTCGTGCAATAATTTAAGTTGTTATACTATTATATTCCCTATATCGATCAATCTTTCAGGAGTGTACGGAGAAGACTTTGTGCAAGTGTTTGACAAGTTGACTGAATATTTCGTGGCCATGTTGGCCCCAGAACGCCCAGGCCTTGAACACCAATGGGCCATCTGTGTGTTTGACGATCTCATAGACTTCGCTCCTAACTCGGCTCCCAAATACCAGCAGCATTTCCTCCAACCCATGATGCACTACCTGACTGACGTTAATCCAGGAGTACGACAAGCTTCAGCATACGGAGTCGGGGCGCTTGCCACCAAATTCCCCGGCACAAACTCGCCTTATCTTGAGTTTTGTAAGAACTGTATCCCCAACTTGGTGAACGTTATCAACGACCCCGACTCTCGGGAAGTGGAGAACATGTCTGCAACAGAGAACTGTATATCCGCTATCTCTAAAATATTCAAACACATCATCGGACAAGACAACTTAGACGAGACAACTGTTGTCACGTGGTTGTCATGGTTACCAATACAGGAGGATGATGAGGAAAGTGTGCACATTTACGGTTTTCTTTTGGATCTGGTAGAAAATAACAATGTATTCGCACTCGGCAAAAGCAACTCAAATCTTCCCGAGATTATCAAAATTTTGACAGAGGGAATCATCAATAAGACCATTAAGTCAGAAGATCATCCAGAGTTGATGACGAGAATACAGGATTTCATACTGCCACTCCAGAAAAACGAAGCTGTGTGGACGGCAATATTGGCAAAGTTACCGGAAACGCATAAAGTTTTACTGTCTGGTCAATAACAGAGTTAAACTTTGAGGGAAAATTGTTAGTGTTTCATTTTCGATATTTACAAAATTTAAGTAGCAGATTGTTGAGTGTTAATTTTATAATTTATGATTGGGCGTGGCAATAAGTCAGGGATACAACATCATCATCGTAAAGTTGGCAAGGATGCTGGTGTTAAACAGAAAGTAATTGAGATATTTTTAGCTTTTTAAAAAGATCTTTTTTATTGTAACTGATTTTGTTTTTTTAGTTGAGAAATTTTGATTTCGTTTATGGGGAATCAAGCCGCTGGATAGTGGCTCTCACGTAATTGCTGGCATTTCGTTCTCCAATTATTGATGTTTGTGCCAGAGAGATTGAATTGAATTCGCTCAAGTTATATAGAGGAAAAGTGATATTTCATGTTCAGAGTATATTTGAGAAAAATTCCGACTATGTACATAAAATTTGAGAGATTGAATGAAATCTGTCTGAATTTCCTAAACTTCCAATCCCGTTTCTTGTTTTCTGGCCTCTCGAAGTTTGCTGAATTACTTTTCTATTCCCAATAATATTTACTGGTTGATCTGTTTTGCTATTAGTAAACTGTATTATCTAGTACTAAAAATTTCTCTCTATGATAGGATGAAGCATTAAAAAGATGAAGGAGAAACTGCAAAGACAAGCTCTTATAGTGAGGGTGGCTTTGTTCCTACTCCAAGTTCTTACCACATACCTAATCCCTCCTTACGACACCTCAGCCGCTGAAGCTTACCCTTCATCTGGACTCCTCCTAGACGGTATAACAGCAATAGGACACGGAAACTGGGACTCAATCTACTTCAACCACCTCGCACAACATGGATATGACTACGAAAACTTCGGAGCCTTCTTCCCTCTCTACCCTGCTATAATAGCCGGGCTCGCCAGTCTGTTGTACCTGCCACTACAACTGCTGATGTCGTACAGCAGCTGTGTTGTTCTCACCAGTATCCTGCTGAACAACAGTTTGTTCTACGTCAACTCTCTCATGTTGTTCAAACTGTCCCGGTTGTTCGGGCTATCAGAAACAAAATCCTACCAAGCTGCTCTCCTTTACACTCTCAACCCTGCCAGTATCTTCCTCAGTGTGGGCTACACTGAGTCTCTCTTCTCTTTCTTTGTAATCCTGGGTCTCCTCATTAGAGAAGCTGATTCTCAGCTCTATTTCCTTTGTTTCTCCCTTGCTACAGGAGTCCGGAGTAACGGACTTAGTCTCGCATTCTTCATCCTGTATGATCACATTCTGAACATGATCAAGTCTGGTAATTTCCTGATAGTTAACTTTGTGTGTATGGTTATACAGACTTGTATTTCTATTGCTCCCTTCTTCTGGTTCCAGAGTCACTTCTACAAGTTATACTGCAACAATGCCACCAATACAAATGGTAAGTGGGCTCTTTTTTCGGTGGTCTGATGTGTAACTGCATTGGTATTTCAATTTTACATGTTGATATATTTTTATATATTTGACGTTGATGCATGAGATTTAGTAACATAAATGTAACGTTAAGTTCTGCGTCACGTTGAATATATGGCTGTGCCAGACTGTTTTTACGGATGTTTAGAACAATATTACGATAGCCAACTCTTCTTTAACTCCGTCTTACAAATGCCACACAACAGTAATTTTTACGATCTCATAGAATCTATACTAAAGAACGTGCAGCATGTATCTTTAAACAGCATATAGTTACCGTGTATTCGTGCTGAATGAGTCTGTATTTCAGGTAGTACTTGGTGTCAGAACGAACTGGGCATCTCATACGGCTACATCCAATCGGAGTACTGGGGAGTGGGCCTCCTTAACTACTGGCAAGCCAAACAGATCCCCAATTTCCTTTTAGCAGCACCAATGTTTATCCTTGTGATCGCCATCATGATTGACGAGGCAGCTAGGCAGTTTAAAAACTTTAAAGATCTCCGGGCTAGTTACGAGCACACTGATTACTCTAACTTTACTTTCCTGTTGACTGTCTGTAACTTCCAGTTGGCAGGGTATTTGCATCTTGCTGCGCTGACTGCTGTGGGGTTACTAACCATGCACGTGCAAGTTGTTACAAGGTTCCTGGTTGCAAACTGTCCCTATTTGTTTCTGTACTGCACGAAGTTTGAGAGACCGATGAGTAGGATTGTGCTGTGTTATTTTGTTGTTTACTGTGTTGCTGGAACTGTTGTTCATAGCACTTTTTATCCCTGGACTTAGTTAGTTTTCCAGGATATTTGTGCTTTTTAATTAGTGTTCACTATTTTTGGAGGTTTTTTTTTCTGGCAGGGGCGACGTTTTAAAATGTATTTTATATTGTTATAGTTTTATATTGTGTGATACTTCTTGTTTTGTTAACGAATCAACTTTCTCTTTTAAAAGGCATGGTGCCCTCTGTATTTCTTTGTTTCCCTTTCTCTTAAATATCCTTACCTCGAAATGATTTGACCATGAGAACTACAATCTCTTCGTTCAGCAGCCCAGCAATGAACGATCTGACAGCTGCTATCAAAGAAACCCTAGAAAATGGCGGAGTAATGAACGACCTGAGAGGAAAAGTGCGGGCTGAAATATTCAGGGCTCTGGAAGACACAACTTTAGAGCGGCCCAAACTTCCATCAGATAACCTTCTTATAAACGAGTTGATCAGAGAATACCTCACGTTCAACAACTACCAAAACACACTGTCAGTACTGATGCAGGAATCCAGACAGCCTCATCAGAAACTTGACCGGAACTTCCTTTGCTCGGAACTTCATGTGAAGTCTACCAGTTCACCTGATACTCCCTTGTTGTACGGTTTAGTGTCTCACTTCACTGATCAACACTCAAATAACTGTAATGATGTGAAAGAGACTGATCTAGGTGATGAGGAGAGCGGGGAGGAGGAGGAGGTTAATCTCAGACAGCCCGAGGTTACGATTATTCGGAAGTGAGGGTAACTATGAACTATCGGACAGATATATATTACTCCCAAAATCAGACATGCCAATTTCCAGGACTCAAAGATTTACCTTTTTTAAATACAAGACGTAACGGCTAAACCTAAAAGTTGCGATGTCGGGCAGATAAACTTACAGTATCAGAGTATTATAAGTTATAACTTATTTAACATTAAGTGAGGTCCGTGACTCCACTATTTTAACAAATTTGTAATTTCATTACCATGCTCGTTCGTGATGTACCTCATCGAATTTGTGTGTGAAAGAGAAGATAATATTTTTATTTATTTGTATCATAGCTTTATATATAATCAGAATTATTAATTATTTATAAGACTGTATACACTAGAGTATACTATAGTACACTATCAAATATCATACAATCAATGTTCATTATATTGTAAATTATCCTATTGTACAAATCTCCTTAGTTTAAATGATCTATATTCTAGCAATATCTGATGATAGTTATATGTGTAATTTTAATGTACTGTACTGAGTTACTGGCGAGGAAGGCCCTAATATATATCTCTTTGAGATTTCATTGAATTTAGCCCTCCTTTTTTAACAAGTACACTGATGTTTTAGTATGACAGAGAAGCGTTATGTTGATCGGAGCTACAAGGCCCCTGAAAATCGTCCTAAGCCCAATTCAAACTCGCAAAACATTTTATATATTCTAAAATCGGACCGAAGTAAAAAATATTTAAGGTACTCCGCGGTAATATTGCTGGTGTCTATGAATGTGGGTATGGTATATGCTGCCATGAATTATGAGATACCCAAGGACCATCCTTATGCTAGTATGTTCTCTAAAAAGACTAATCAATCAAAATGATAAGACTGATTCACCAAATCAACCCTTGTTATAGTGACCAATGGCACGGAAGTACGTTGACCGGAACTACAAACACAAAATCCCCAAAACTCGTCTCCAGGCCCTCTACAACTTCGTATCAAACACTAAGGAAGGGAAAGCAATCGCGTATATCGTAATAACGATGACCGGCCTGGCGATATCTCCCACCTACTACTATTACAAGGAAGTGGGGAGGAAGGAGTTTATGCGGAGAGAAGACAGACAAGTGGCCGGAGCTGTTGCTTCTGTTAAGATAGATTCCGGAGATAGTGTTCCTGTATCGGCTCAGCAACCAGAGGCTGAATGAAAGCCGAGGGAACAACGTCATCAGAAAACGTGTATTTCTAAAATGATGTGCGATTATGCGATTATGCGATTATGCGGCTGGCATTGATTAAATACGATTAAGAAACATCAGATGAATGGATTGGATATGATGCAGCAGAAACTTTCTAGTGAAATGCTTTCCTCAGACCGGGACAGTGATATTGTTGTATGTAACTCTTTTTAAAGGCTCTGAGATTTGTTAATATTTGTTAATTTTGTAACTTAATTTATTTTGGACTAGATAAGTCGTGTCTTCCTGGTTACTTTATCATTTACTACGCTGCCAATTACCTCTTATAATTTATATACTTGATACGAGATTGCTTATATTACGCATTATGTACATTTTCTATACACGTGTAACGAATTATCCACTTTATATTTCTCTTTAAACAGAGATAATGATTTCGATTGTTGATCTCCCTGAAATACACATCTCTTACTACGCACCCTTCTCTCAAGGTATGACAAGTACAAAGCGAGCTCTGGTTTGTATAGCTCCGGGGTTCGAAGAGGTTGAGTTTACTGTGCCAGTTGATATTCTCAGACGAGGCGGAGTGGACGTTAAGATTGCTACTATTCTCGGTTCGTTCCAATTTATGGAGTATTTTTATAGTTTATTTAAACTTTAATGGCATGAATTATGTAATAATCTAAGTTCCTTTTAGATAAACAATCATCCCATTTGAATGACCGTTTGATTACTATCACAGCCGTCTATCTTAATGATGAAGACCCCACTAACTTGTCACTCCTCCTGATCAGATGATATGAGCCCGGTACCAGGACGTTGTGGTATCAAGATCTCCCCCGAATGTCTCATATCTGAAATAACTGAGGATGATTTGTACGACCTTGTATTTGTTCCTGGTGGTCTGGCAGCTGCTGAAGCTTTTGCTGCCTCCCCAACTGTAGGTGATATCTACACGAGGCACAACAACCAGAACAAGTTTGTGGCTGCTATCTGTGCTTCACCCATTGCTTTCAAGTATGTAAGTATTCAACCTTTAACAACGTTTATAAAGTTGCATGTTTGACTTAGCAACCGTCGCGTCAAGTTTTAAACAGGTTTTAAATGTGTGGATATAGGGCATTTTGTTAATCTGTTTTTTAAAGATTTCTAAGAAACGGTTAAACAGTTCCATCACTGACATATTTGGACTGTTATATTTCAAAATTACGATGATAATTTATTATTTTAGTGTTGAAACACAATTCTAATTTGTGACTCCATCTCGGACAGTAAACACAAGATAAACCACGGTAGACGTATCACGTGCTACCCGGCTCTTGCTATTCGACTAGATGGAAACTACAAGTACTGCTCTGACTCTGTGGTGGTTGATGGGAATATGGTGAGTTTGATTTTGTGCAGTGTTAAAGTCTGAGTTTGCAGGCAACTCACCATAGTCCATAGAAATACCATTCAAAATTGTTAATGAGATAATGTTGATGGAATGCCATTTGCTAAGAAGCGCATATTTAGTCGACAATAGTCTGTTTAATTGGTAGCCATCTGGAATGTCGTGTGACACGTCGCTTGACGCAGTGACAAAAGAGGGCGTGGTCATGGCTCGTGGTCATTGTGACATGAGATTAGATAGCACTTAATTACTTTTCCGTAATATTACTTTGTTTTGTATTGCAGATAACCTCAAGAGGGCCTGGAACTGCCTTCGATTACGGAATGGAACTGCTTGAGCAGCTCAAAGGAAAAGATACCAGGGATCAGATTGCTAAAGATATGCTGTACACCTTATGAGAGCCGAACTTGATCTTTTGTTCCAACTTGAAAAGGCATAAAAAAGTCATAAATGAACCCACTGCTCTCTATAGTCATGGTAATTAGATAGTTACCTTTGGGTAGCTACTAGTTTTAACTCTATCGTGGGACTTTTGAAAAGTTGAAACATTTTTCTAATTTTTGATTATTTCAGTTTTGAACTTTAAATTATTAGATCCAATTTTATGGATTAAAGATACGGAGAGTATTATATGTTGTGCATATAAGATTATTAGAAGGTAGATTTTTGAATTTTGACAAATAAAGCACTGTTACAAGATTGATTTTATTAGATATATACTGCACAGTTCACTCACTTCAAGGTCACAAATTTAAGGCCAGGCCCAGAATATGTTCCTAGGCCTATCCTGTCCTTACTGCGTACAATTTATGTCACCTTAGAGGCCTAATTTATAAATTTTGTCCTGTAGGCCTGGTCACGGTGACCGTATGAATTTTAGTAATTATTTTGTAATTCTGACTTTAACAATTTAGTCGGCATGGAACGTAAACGGCCCTACGAAGGTGATCAACAAGAAGGCAAGAGGGCAGCTGCAGGAGGCCAAGTTATTAAAATGTTATGTCCTGATCTTGTTACAGGCTCTGTTATAGGGAAAGGTGGTGAGGAAATTAAAGCAATCAAGGCCAAAACAAATGCAGTAATCAACGTGGCCAAGGCCGGCCAACAGTATCCAGGCACAACTGACGAGAGGCCTATTGCGATCAAGGGTAACAAGCAGGCAATGATGGACGTTGTTTTGTTCGTGCAAGACAAGATTTACAATTCCGATAAAGCAGACGAGGAAAGGAAGAAAATTGTAAAATTAGTGGTTCCAGATACATCAGCCGGCCGAATCATTGGTAGGGGTGGTGAAACAGTCAAGCGGCTGAGATCCTCGTGGGGTGTTGACTTGTCACCGACTGGTAAAGGTGAAACTCCTGACGACTTAGACGAGAGAATTGTCAGTATTGACGGGGAATGGGACAATGTCGTCGGTTGCCTTGACGAAATTCTTGACATGATTGTGAACGACCCAAAATCCCTCATGGAACTTGAAATAGACTATTCACAGTGGGCAGATTTTGAACCAAAACCAGTTGAAAAGCGACCTAAACCAGAAGGCGCACCTCGAGGTTCAAGGGGGAGGGGCAGAGGAGGTCCTCCTCGGGGGATGATGCGAGGACGTGGTGGGCCACCTAGAGGTGGTTATGGACCTCCACGTGGAGGAGGGTATGGACCCCCACGTGGATATGGACCCCCTCGAGGTGGTCCAAGGGGTCGAGGAGGTTATAGTGGTGGTTACGGGGGTGACTACGGTGGTTATGGTGGATATGGTGGTCATGGTGGATATTATGACAGATACAATGATTACAGTTACTAAAAACTTTCTGGCTCTTTAATTTTCTATTCGAAATTAAATTTTATGAAATTCTTTTAAGATACAATTCTGGTGACCTCTGTTTAAAGCCAAGCATGTGCTGTCCAAATCTGTTAAGTGACATGGCCAAATCAATCTGACCTAAGCTTTGTCCATGTTATAAATATGTAAAGAGGGTTAAGTTTTAAAACTTGTCAGCTGTTGTCCCCTCAATTTATTTTATCTAACACTTTTATGTATGAACAAATTTGTATTTTATTGGCAATCACCCTGCTGTGTTGTATTGAAATGTTCAATTAAAGTTGCCTGTTGCACAAGTTTTATTGGCCAAAATTATAAAATTTCTTCAAACTGTTAATCTAATAATTGCTCCTATATCGCTGAAATTTACAGATGCCTTATTTCAATGCTCTTGTGATATATAATCCCTAGATTTTTGGCCGCCGTTTTTAAAAGTTCAAATTAGTCCTCCAAACTTCGAATTAGCCCTTGAATCTCAGCTTTTGATCCAAAATTATTATCTATTTTATAGGATTTCATCCATTTTTTGTCAGAACAGAAAAACTATGAATTCAAGTCATAATTTATGAATTTTTCAGGTAACCTATACTCCTTAATCTCGCCTACTGCGGAGTCCTAAACCCTAAATTCCCAATTTGTTCCTCAACCTCCTTGAACCTAAAAAACCTAAATTCCTCATTCCTATTACGTGTCCTTGACTCACTCCTTACCTAGTCCTCAACCCTAAATTTCAACCAGTCCTAATAAATTGCAACCTTGATTCCTGTTCTCCGACTTTCCTAACACCCTAAGATCCTAAAACCCATCACTCCTAACCCTAACTACAATTCTAGTAGCGTCAAATTGACTATGGTGGAACGCAAGCGTGGGAGTCGTGACAGGTACGACTCAGATGAAGACAGGGAAAGAAACTATGACTCAAAACGAAGACGAAGCAACGTCCACATCATCAAGCTACTCTGCCCTTACTACATTGCCGGAGCTGTGATCGGTAAGGGAGGTGAGCGGATCAGGGAAGTTAAAGATCGTTCCGGAGCTAACATAGAGATCTCACGTCATGAAGCTAGGTTTCCGAACACAGATGAGCGTGTTATTGCTATTGAGGGAGAGCGAGACGAGCTGCAATCTGCTGCTCGGTATCTAAATGAGAACATGAGAGAAGGTGAGTCCACCACTGCAGCCTCGTCATCCTCCCGCAGTAATGACTACGACTCTGAGCGCAGGAAGAAGACATGCAAGATCCTGGTGTCTGACTCTGCCATGGCAATGATCATTGGACGAGGAGGGGATAATATCAGGGATATAAAGAAGGAGTTTGCAGTTCAGATCAACACTTCAAAACGTCACGAGACACCTCGTGAGCTGGACGAGAGGATTGTCACTATCGAGGGGGAAGACAGAGATGTTGACAAATGTGTTGATGAGCTCATCTGTCAGATCTCCTCTGATGATAGATCCAGGATGAAGTTCTTCGTAGACTACTCCGAGATCAGACACTACAGCCGGGGACGTGGTGGCGGTGGTGGATATGGTGGTGGTGGTTCTCGTAACAGGGGCAGAGGTAGATCCAGATCCAGATCTAGATCTCGGGGTAAAAGATCTAGGTCCAGGTCCAGAGAAAGGGCCCGCAAATCACCATCATTTGAGGGAAGAAGCAAACGTCGTACTCGCAGCCGCACCCGTTCCCCAGTCCGTTCTCCCTCACGATCCAGATCCCGGTAGATGTGGAGTGTCGTTGAGCTTGCTGTCTCGTGAAGGTAACTGACAATTTACAGACTTATTGTATACCTTGCTATATGTTTTTCAAACTTAAAAAATGCGGGAGTCAATTTTACTTACTTTATACATTTGATTACCTTTGGCTTTTTCAGCGATATATTTGGACGATTTGTATTTACGAGCAGCAGAGCCATTTCTCATATTTTTGTCTGAGTTTAATCGCCCTTGAAGTCAGATATCAATCATCAATAATAGTAGTTGTGCCAAGGTATATCAATTTATAGACCGCTTAACTGATGAGTGATATCATTGTATACTTGTATACCATCGCAAATATTGCTACTATTCAACATTCATACATGATACTGTTTTGCATATCCGATAATTTCTCCCAAATTGATCAAAATATGTATTTGTTCGTGTCTTTAAATTTTTCGGAGCAACATTAAATTCTATTTTATTGAAATTTTACAGAAAAGCTCAATGCTTGCTAAGTATTGATGTCTTTACGATGATTACTGTGAAATGTTTTACAAATGATTTTCCTGATTGAATTGCGCCCCAGCTAAAATTAGCAACTATCTTGCGTTTGAATTGAAATGGAATATTTCTCGCTGTTTCTCAAAATTATTTTATTTATAACTGTGTTGTAACTTCTTAAACCACAAAATTTTAATACTGACTTTCTTTAGAGAACTGGTTTATATCCCAGCCATTTAATTTACTCGGCTTTTCAAACTAACCAAAATAATACCGCTTGTTCATTAAAATTAGCTCACAGCTGTCTAGTGCACGTGGCTTGTCTATGTCTCGGGCTGGTTGTGTACTAGACTTGCCTGCCTAGGTCCCTCTAATCCTCTATTTCTTAGCATTAGCAGCATCATGGGTGATCGCGATCGTAAGCGAGGTCCTGACTCCGACCATGGCCCACGAAAAGAAATGCGCTCTGGGACCATCATTAAAATGCTTTGTCCTTTCTATAGTGCTGGCGCCATCATAGGTGACGGTGGCAAAGAAATCAAGAGCATTAAAGAAAATATGGGCATTAACATCCAGGTATCTAAAAAAGAAGTAAGATTCCCAGGTACTGACGAAAGGGTGGTTACTTTGCAGGGAGAATGCGAGACCATCAAGAAAGTCGTGAAGCACATCCAAGATCTGATCAGGAACGACAAGCCTCCTCCAAGTGCCAAATCAGTAGATGTGGAGGGAAACGAGAAGAGGAAACGAGCTCTGAAGCTGGTAGTTGCTGATACCTCCGCTGGAAGAATCATCGGTAAAGGTGGGGAGACGATCAAAGCGTTGAAAGAGAGATATGCTGTAGCAGTGAACACGTCCAAAAAAGGAGACACACCTCCAGGGTTAGACGAGAGGATCGTATCAGTGGAGGGAGATCATGAGGAGGTTGACAACTGTGTGAGTGAGATGGTTGAGACCATCTGCGGAGACAGACAAGCTAGGATGCTCTGGTTTGTGGACTACAACAATATTGGAGGCGGTTATGATGATGGATATGGCCGAGGAAGCAGTGGTGGTGGTGGTGGTGGTGGTGGTGGATACGACGGAGGAAGATCGTCTTATGGTTCCGGTTCATATGGCGGCTCCGGGGGAGGGGGCGGTTATGGAGGTTATGGTGGATCCAGAGGCAGCTATGGGAGTATGTCATTTAATTTAGATTGTTATTTTCTTTTTTCTTTGTAGGCTCGTACGTAAGAATAAAGATGTTGCACATCATGCTTTATAAATTCGCATTTTATTCGCAGTGAATCTAAAGTCTTGAAACTGCTATATAATAGCTAATTCCTAACTTTTTTCAGGCAGTGGCGGATATGGCGGAGGCAGCGGATATGGAGGTTATGGAGGTGACAGCGGCTATGGTTCTCGTAGTTATGATGATCGTGGTTATAGTGGCGGCTATGGGGCACCTCAGGAGGGCTACAACGCCCCCGGAAGTAGATACGGCTCAGGCAGCTACGGAAGAAGATAGATTTAATGATTTCAAGTATTATCTCAGCCAGAACTATTTTAACCGTAATGCCTTTTCACTATTTTATTTTTGTGATGTTATTCATAATAAAATGTTTGAAAATTAGATTTCTTGTCGCTGTTTTACCTTAAATAGCCTCCGCCTGCCGTATTTTGGGTCATGATAGAGATTTAAATGGACATTCAACTTAGTGCCAAGTACGAAATATGTATTATCTGTTTCACCATGGCATGGTGCATATTATCTTAAATTTGACCGCAGATCTTGCCTGCACCTATGTGATTGAAAGTTGTTGTTTAGTTTCAGATGCTGGTTTACTCATTTATTTTTTGTTACATTTAAATTTGCAGAGCTGCTAAAACGGATTTTTAGTTTGCAGATGTTGACCACCTAGCCACATGCTTGATTTAAATGTTGAAAATTTTTATAGTTTTTGTCTAATGAATATATTGATATATTTAACATTATAACCATTTTCACTTTAATAATTGAACACCTCTATTATTTGAATTACCAAACAATTGATGAAATTGAACAAAAAGTGTTGCACAGAAAATAATTGGCTGATTTAACACTGGTTATTTGTTCAAACATTACCGATTGGTTGATCTCGGATCGAACCAAATATAACTTCGGGAACTTCTATTCAGAATAAATTTTATTTATACATAGCGTTTTTTACGAATTATCATTATTTTTATTCAGGTTTGATGATTATACGAGCTGTAGGAAGATGTCGAATATTTCGAAACTCTACCCTTCAACTTAGGAACAAGTCTGTGGTGTGTCGCAACCTAAAGATATGCCAGAGAGATGTTCCCCGCCGCTGTTTCAGCTCCGTTCCCAAAGGTGTCATCACCAAGGTGATACATGGAGTCAGAAGCAATATATCTGGATATACTCGGGTTCTCATCGTTATCATGGGAGTCATGACTGTTATCGTGATAGTCGCCGAGCAAGCCATCGCTCAAGATCAGATCATCCTCAATGTTCTCCCCCAGAAACCAGCTCACGATGTCTTCACCTACCCTTTGTCAGTGTTTCAGGATATTAAAAGTGAAAAGCAGATTTTCCAGGCTAGGACTGAAATGGTTAACATACACGGTCCAAAAGGATGCGGTAAAACAGAATTTATACGACAGTATTCAGAACATTTTCTTCAGGAAGGCCCACATTTGTACTTTAAACTTCACAAATTGTCCAACAGACGAAATTGTCAGGTTTTTACTTTAGACGCTAGGAATAGTCAGACGTTAGCTCATTCTTTAACTTCTCTCAATAATAAATTGAAACAAAAGAAAGGAACTGATGGTGCCTCAGAAAGCCACAATCTTGTTCAGGGGATCAGCACTGGACTTGAAAAACAGTCTCGTTGGTTGCTAGTATTTGAAAACGCTTCCTCAGATTTAAATCTGTCTGAATTGTTGTCAGGATACGAAAAGTGGGGTGATGGTCAAATAATAATTACATCAGATACTCCGATAAAAGGTTGTAAAAACTTTTCTCTCACCTCTCTAATCCCCCGTGCCACTGCTGAGAAAGCTTTCTTTGCTGCCGCTCCTGCTGATGAAGTTTTTGACTCTAGCGTCCTTCACAAAATGTTTGGTCATGACTTAAGATCCATTGTAGCTGCTGCTCAGTGCATCAAGATGGAACAAGACAGTGGCATTGATTTCAGCTTCCAAAAGCTTTGTGACCTTCTATCAAAATCGACCAAACCAGCGGAGGATGTAATAAAATTATACTGTTCGGTGATTGCCCTTGAAAAGCCCAAGTTATTGCTTGCTTTGGATTTTGTGGCTAAGCTGCCGATCGATGTTCCTGTTCCCTACAAGTACATCAAGCATCATTTGGATACTAACATGTATGATTCATTCTTGGATGCTGTACCCGGGTTTTCTCGTTATCGATTGTCTATGAGCCCTCAAAGAAAAGTCGATCTTGTGGACACAGTTGAAGAGGAAACCAAAGCTCCAATTGACCCTAGCACTTTGTCCTATTTCGACAGAAAACGGCACGAGGGTCTGGAATCTCTTGGTATGGATCCCAGCAGAGGTATCATGGAGCAGATGGAGGAAATTAAAGAAATTATTTGGCCGAAACCCATGGAGATGCCGGATGATGAAGAGTTAAAAATGTTAAGAGATTGTCCTTTATTGAAGTATGATCCTGAATATGGGGGCCACGTAGCTGTATTTAACATAGATGAAGACATTCACAAAACTCTTCGATTTATTCACACAGACTTCACTGCACATCTTCTTGAAGCTGCCCTTGTATGTGAGCTAGAAGAGAGATACAAGCGCACCTGGATGGCAAAAATATATTCATTCAACAAGGTAGAACAGACGATAAAAAGTCGACAAGATGTCTTGGGAAAATCGAAAGTGCATCTGGACCCAAAAAATACAGAAAAGTCTGAAATCCATCCCAAGATTCCTGAGATACACAACTCAGTTCTAGTCTACAAAGCCTCTCCGATATCACACGCTAACCTCTCAGAATACAGTGATCTTCACCACAAACAAGTACTGAAATCTGTAATGGCCTTCGTGGATGTGACGATACCCAACACTGTCCGGGGAACCATGGAATCTATCATACTACATGGTCATTTATCAGCACTAGCTGGCAACCTTCCTCCGATGTTCAGTGGCTTAGCAGAGACCTGTAGTCTTCATCTGAAGTCTGAATTGGGAGGTAGTGACATGGAGACAGAGTTTAAAAGTGCTTTGTCGAAAGCTCGAGATCAAGATTTGAAGGGGCCCTCCCATGCCTCTGCCTTGCATCGATATGCTGTCTGGTTACACAACAACTCAAGGGACACAGAAGCAAAAGAACTACTTGAAGAGGCAGTGAGATTTGCTGATTCTCTAGCTTTAAACAGGACTATGGCACAAGTGTGTTGCGAGCTGGAAGATCATGACTCAGCTGAAAAGTATCTCGAAAAAGCTGTGAATTCTGTGAGGCCTGGAGATCAAGACGTTCTAGGGCCAATTTTAACAGATTTCGGCCAGGTTATGCTACTTCAGGGTAAGACATCAATTGGGATAAAGTACCTGCAGGGAGCTATCGAAGGCTACAAAAATCAGGTAGGTACAGAAAATCCTGAATACGCAAGAGCTCTAAATGTTGTGAGTATTGGTCATCTGATGTTAGGAGATACTTTGCGAGCAAATAGAGCCAGGAATGAGGCTAGTTCTGTTCTCTCTAAATTAAAGAAGAAGAATCTAATAGTCGACGGATAGGGTAGATAGTTTGAATTATAGTTTTTCGATTTATTAATTTATTTTTGGAGAGGTATAGATATTAGATATGTTGATTTTGTTATCGTTTTGTGATAGGGACTGTATATATTATATGTTTTATCTTTGTCCGTTGCAAATCTGTAGTCTGGTAACTGTACTAAAGATTCCTTCTGTATAACTAATGGAACGATTGTTATATAATTTATAGTCCGTTCAGTTTTGATGAAACTAATTTATTAATTAGATCTGTACGTATTTCTGGTTACATTTTATAGTTATGACTAAACAGATCAAGTTATAGTTTTCTGTACATGGTGCAGTACTTTAACTTAGGAGCTAACGAAATTAGACAAGCCATAACTGTAGTTTTCTTGCAAAGTTCACTAAATGACAATTATATTCAGAGTTACAGTGTATTAATTTATTAAATTCGCTTGGCATACTTAGAGTAGCTTTTAACCGTAACACTTTCTTATTCAGTGAATGGCTACAAGAAAAGAGCAAGAAGTTCTCCATGCTAATCTTCGAAAATGGTGCAACCTTCTCGGCTACCGTATTACGGACACAGAATTGAAAGTAGTGACGAAAAACAGCCGCAATGCAGAATTCTGGAGACTCATTCAAAAGTTGGTCCTGCCAGGCGATGATATCAAACTAATTAGGTCTAAGCTGGCAGGGTTTCAGAGGAAACAGGATTATAATAAGACAAAAGAAGACGTTAACCAGTTGCAGCAGAAAAAACAAGACCTCTTAGCTCAGATTGCTGCGTCAAAAGCTAGATCATCACAAACTCACTCGAGCATGATTTCACTGAAAACCAAAATGCAACTCGATGCAAACTCTAAAACAGAGAAGTTGGATCAACTCTCGACCAGTACTATGAAAGAAATTCTTCAGAAGTCCCTCACAGGTCATTGCAGTGCTGTTCAATCAAAATTTGGGGAAATTGGCAATTCTTTGCAAACTGCCACAACGAGAAGAAATAACTTATCAGAAGGAAATCTCTCACCAATACTGATGTCGGGAAATTGTGGGGCAATCGAATCTGAGTGTTCCAGGGCAATCAGCTCTATTTTGGGCCAGGTTCGAGACTATTTAGAACTCCATGTTTCTGATTCTGACGCAACTGAGGACCACATCCTGAAAGGTAAAGTTTGGGAAGCTGCCGCCAAAATTCACACAGAGTTCTCCCCTGAAGAAATTTTAGCTGCCCTCACAGCAATAACAACTGAAGAATCAAACTCGCTTCAAGGTCATTCAGAGTCAATGAGCATTGAGAAAGATTTGAAAAGTCTGGACTTTGAGCTCGTCGATGGAAGCTTAGTCAGCAAAAATGACTATTCTGATTCAGAGAAAGACTTAGAAACACATGCTATCGCATTACAAAACAAAGTTAGCAAAGAATGGATAGAGATGTTGAACTGTCGAAATAAATCACGAGAATTAGGAAAAACTCTTGATATTCTAAACACAGAAGTTGAAAGAAAAGTTCAAATGCTGCCTTGGGCAAGGGAGGAGAAGTCTGCTTTGAGTGCCTTATTAAAGTTCAAATTGAGAGAAAAAGAGTTGGAATCCAAAGAACTTTCAATCAAAAATGAAATAAAGAGATTGCAAGATGAAAAAGATCGTTCAACCAAGGAAAAGGTCCAAACTTTAAAGACCCACAGATCGATTATCGACTTCAAAAAGAATCGAGAAAAGAAACAAGGAGTTATAAAATCTTTAGTCAGTCAAACGGGATCTTTGAAAGTAGCATTGGACTCTCAAACGGCTGTGATAAAGCAACTAATCACAGAGAAGTTACAGCCTATCGATGAAATATTTTCGCCACGTTTAGAATCTATTAAAAACTACCCTCAGGTCCTAAGTTCCACTCTTATCAACGTGCCTCTTGACCGACTATATTTGTCACCAATACCGTCTGGATCCTCCCCAGTCTCAGACCTGTCCATTTATCAGTTCAGCAGAAGTCCAAATTATCAAAAACTTCTTTCAAGCACTTCTTTGCCTCTACATCTCGATTCCGAATCTTTCTTTCATCATGTATCTGATCTGATCTCCGTCTCGCACAAAGAAGCCTTATCAACATGCATCCAGAACAATATCAACAGACGCCACAAAACTGACGTTCCAGACAGCGCGAATGTGTTCCAAGCCTTGAGGGAAGCTCTTCATGACTTTGATAATTTCACCTCAGAGAATATTCTAGATCGAATCAAAAGGTCGGAAGACAAGGTTCAGGGGGCTATGAAGAAGTGTCCAGCAATAAAGAGAATGATACACATTCACTCTGACCAGCCCGCCCAGTTCTTGGTACCCTGGGTCACAGTAGGGGACAGGAATATCGAGCAGACTCAAGAGAAATGGCTTGTAAAGTGCTCTATGTCACCGTGAAATTATCTGTTATTTTCCCTGACTCCAGCATAATTTTATTTCTGACATAATACCTATGGTATTAGTATTGTATGCAATATTTTAAGTTTGACTTTGTAATGAGGGTTGACCGAATTGTAATTTGAACTTTGTATTTATCTTTTTGTATTATAATAAGCTATCTTGTAAATACCTTTTCAATAAATAGTAGTTCTCACCACAGCACAGAGTAATTTTTCTGTCTTAAAGCCATTATAATTAAACGTCATTATAAACTTATAAACGTTTCATTCTATAATGACCATTCCTAAATTCTCCTTTTTTCCTCGATAACAATGATCTACATTAAAAAGTACTTGTTACCAGATAACAATCCTAAAATTCAGGAAGGATAGAAGAAACTGGGATGGTAGACTGAGAGTAAGGCAATGGCGCTCTCCCGGTTGTCTCTTGACAACCACCTGACAACCCAACACAGCGTTATCAACACCATCTCCACTGATCTTAGCTCTGCTCTCTCCCTCTGTTTCTATCAGACTAACTATGTCCCTGACCTTGTGAACATTATTCTGTGGCTGGGCAGGCTGCCAGCATACCGGAGTGCTGCAGCCACTGTCACCACCACTTCATCAGAGCTATCATCTGCTCTGAGTGAGTTGTTGCTACCTTACATGCGGGACAAACAATGGGTTTATAAAAAGTTTCTCTTTAATAATTTAAGTGGTGATTCCTCTCGGTACCAGACTTTCCAGACGATACTTTCCCTAGCTGAGATATGGAACTACCTACAGTTCTTACAGAAGGGTGATTACAGAAGGTTGTGTGACAGAGCTCTAGATACCAAGTATCTATCAACCCCACCAGCAGCGGACTCTGAATCTACCGACACACTTCCTGACCTGCCTGATTACTACTTCCTGTTTGAGAAACACCTGATCAGATCTCTAACCCAACTCCTCCACTGCTCCCTCCCTCTAATCTGGAGATCCTGGCTGTACAGGAGAGTGGTGAAGATGAGGAGGACCCAACAGAGTGGCCTCTGTGGGGAATGTGATCAGAGAGCTGTTAATGTTGTGTGGACAGGATGTGGACATCTTCATTGTCATTACTGTTTGGGAGAAAAGTGTGGTGTTTGTGATGCCCCCATCGAGCAGGATACACTTTGTTATCCCTGAATTTGGCCAGGTTTAAAGATTTGTTTTTAGATGTTATGATTTGTTCTTCAGTTGTTCGTTTAGTTAAACAAACTTTCGCATGTTTTATATTTGTAGATTTCTGAGTATAATTTTCTGCTTAAACATTTTGAAATTCTTTGACTCTTTGTTATGATATATTTTACTTGAATGAATTATGGGAAATATTATATTAAAGATTTGATCTTTGTTGATGTGAAAGTTTCATCTTTTAATCCGATTTAATTGGTGTTTTTCTTTTGATTTCTTTCGAAATATTATCTGAATTATCAGCACGGTAGTAAGATCCAAATTCAAATACGAAATGTTCAACTTTAGGAAAGACATGGACTCCTCTCAAGAAGAGGCTGGGGATCGTCCCTCGTCCCAACAAACTGACTCCGAGTCTCTGTCAGCAATACCACCCACTCCTCAAACTGACCAGGCCTCATCTCAGAACCCTGCCAGTCAAACTCCTCGGACTCCATCTGGAGCAACTCCTCAGACTCCCAACCCCTTCACCTCACCCTTACCTGCAACTTCGCCATTTCATCCTTCTTCTCCCTTCCCTGCTACTTCTCCCTTCCCTGTTACTTCTCCCCTTCCTTCGCCACTACACTCTGCCCCGAAAAGAAATCGACCAAATGGTAAGCTTGATCTACTCTTTTTTTAAAGAACCTTTAATTATACAAACTCGATATGTAGGTTAACATGACTTATTAAAGTTAAAATTCAGAAGAAAGTCATTCAAGCTATTTATCAAAATAAAAATCGCTTAAAAAATATTTGTGTTTTAATTGATTACTCTTCAGATCCTCGCACACCCTCCTCAAGTGAACCCAACTCTCAACGCCGCAGACCAAACCAAGACCCCGGCACCAGCCCTGCCGCTAACAACATACCTCCCTCCTCTGAAATAGACCTCTCCTCCCCCATGACATACGCCACCTCGCCAGGCAGCGTCAGGACCCCCCACTCTGCCGTCACGCCTCACAGACGTCGTACTGACATCACTGGTGCAGCCAGTAGGAGGGAAGTAGCACTTACCACTGACGGTTCAGACCTGGGACTCAGCACTGATCCTGTGGGTGCAACCAGCGAGGCTGGAGGTGGTGCCAGGGTGGTTATCTGGGGTACTGATGTGGTGGTGACAGAGACACAGGAACAGTTCAGGAGGTTCCTGACTCAGTATACTGAGGAGGAGGAGGGAGAGAGCTTCTATATTCAGCGTCTTGAGGAGGTTTGTTCTGTCTAATCCACTGTGATTCGCTCGTTTAACTTCCTTGAATATCTAGTACTCTACTCATTGCAGATTTTATTTAGCTATAGCAGATAGCTGTGAAAATTAAACAGTTGCCTAAAACTTCAAAACTTTTAGATCTTCCATCATATTCAAATAGTACGCCATATTGAGGGTTGAATAATTAGTTCTTGAGTGGAAACTGTGTATTACTAAGGGTTTAGTTACTGCAACTGTATAATATGCAGCATAAGTTCATTTAGCAGCTGCTATTTCACGATGTTCGCATTCCAACTAGACAATTGTATTTTAATACCACTAACCCCTCTCTAACACTCCCTCAGCTCGCTATATCGGAAGAACCCTACCTGAACATATCCTGCGAGCACCTCCAACAGTTCTGCCCCGAACTGTACCGACAGTTGGTACAGTACCCCCAGGAGGTTATCCCTACCTTTGATCAGTGTATTAACGAAGTGTTCCAGGAGAGGTTCAGTGACGTCACTCTTCAACATCAGATACAGGTTTTTAGCGACGGATTTATATCACCGCAACTTCATTTGTTGTGTCGAAGTTGTTTTTTAATTGGGAGATTTGGCATCTTGCCAAGCACACATTCTTCGCTTCTTGTGAACATTCCATTGTGAAGCCATGTTACTAAAACGAAGTTGAATAGATCAAGATGAGTAATAAGAACAAATGAAAGAAGTAATTTGTCAATACCGTTTTATTGCAGGTAAGACCGTATAACGCAGAGAAGACCACTAACATGAGGAAGCTGAACCCCACGGATATTGACCAACTTATCACTATCAGTGGCATGGTTATTCGCAGCAGCAATATCATCCCTGAAATGACCGAAGGTTCGTTATCTACCACTGCACTACATTTTAAAAGTTTGAAAGTTCTAGTTCTCAATCAAAGTTTTAAAAGCTCTTCTGGCGACAAGAGAAGATAAAATATTTACTGAATATTTCAGCGGTTTTCCTGGGTAACCTTAGATATTTCAGCATATTTCCGACGTAACACGTGATATTTCAGCATTTTTCCTGTGTTACGTGTGCCAAAAGACGCACACAGTGGAAATAGACCGGGGAAGAATAGCAGAGCCAGGAGTATGTCCTAACTGTGAGACACGACACAGCATGAGTATTGTTCACAACAGATGTGTATTCACTGACAAACAGATGATTAAGCTTCAGGAGGCTCCAGGTTCGAGACATTAGCTCTCTAGATCTCCATTCTCCAAGCTAGAGTATAATCACCAGCTAGGCTTTTCTTTTGGTCAGCTATTCTAAGAATCAAATCAAATCTTGAAAGAACTAATCTAAGTGCATATGTACATTTATTTAGCTTACTCTCTTACACAATAATACAATCTGACGCTCCCCTCAGACGATATGCCAGCCGGAGAGACACCACACACAGTAATCCTGTACGCGCACGACGACCTGGTGGACAGCGTGAACCCTGGAGACAGAGTGACAGTGACCGGGATCTACAGAGCTACTCCTGTTAGACTAAATCCTAGACAGAGGAGTGTTAAGAGTGTCTATAGGACTCACATTGATGTTATACACTTCAGAAAGGACGACGAGCACAGGTCTAATATTCTGGCAATATTTTGTAGCGGCAATATTGTAATATTTTGAATATAGCCTTGTTTAAACATCGATATCACCGTTACTAAATACAGCCAAGTTTTCACAACTAAACCGCATGTTGACTCTTGACTGATACCCTGACCTCCAGGTTACGCGAGATAGATGTTGACGATGAATCAGGAGAAAAGTCAGCTGCATTCACCCCAGAACGAGTTGCTGAGTTACAGGAACTCTCCACATCTGCGGGAGTATACGAACGTCTCGCTCATGCTATCGGTACCTTCCCCTCTACATACCATATTGTATACTATTGTATTAACATTCCTGTACTAATGATAATTAAGTAGATTAAGTGTCTATATCCCAAATATTTGAACCCTGATATGATAATACCTGGTTTAACTACATGTAATCTGACTGATGTCTATTTTAGCGCCCAGTATCTACGAGAACACGGATATTAAGAAGGGTGTCCTGATGCAGTTGTTCGGGGGAGCTCGCAAAGATTTCAGTAACACGGGGCGAGGACGGTTCAGACAGGATATCAACATCCTGCTGTGCGGAGATCCTGGTTGGTAGACTATCTTATCTAAATCTTATCTTATTATATATTATGATTATGGAATATGGAGTACCCGTTATCTCAGAATCTAAATTAGGAAAAACTAGGAGCACGTAAAGTTCATTAAGTGTTCTGTTTCATTTCTGAAGAAACATACGAGGTGTTCTGATTCGCTCCATAATATGATTTTGTTATGGGGAAGAAGATGAAATATTGAAATGTATTAATTATTAAATATCATACTAACGACGCTACACTGTACACAGAATGTTTACACGGAATGTATTCACAGAATGTTTACACGAAATGTATACACGGAATGTATACACAGAATGTTTACACTCAACCTTTCCTGCAGCCTCCAATAATACACTCCATATCCAAATTATACAACATTAAACCCGCGCATATAATAACACTAATTATACCTGATGAATACACTCATTGCCATGTAATGACATACCACACTCCTCCAGGAACTAGCAAGTCTCAGATGCTGCAATATGTGTATAACCTGGTACCACGAGGGCAATACACAAGTGGTAAAGGCAGCTCCGCTACAGGTCTCACTGCTTATATCACCAGGGACCCTGAGACCAAACAGGTCGTTCTTCAGACTGGTTAGTTGTTAGTTGTTAAACTGCCTTTTGTAATGAGCCTCTGAGGAAATTTCCGGTTTGGATAAATGGAATGGGGATTCAGTATTTAGATGGACCTGATAATTACATAACACTTAGACAATAAACCTCTAATCACTGATTATCTTCGGTTAATAGTCATAATTTCACACAATGCTGTTAATGTCATTACATGCTCTTGCCACTACATATCAATATGCCATATGCCCAGGTGCCCTTGTACTCTCTGATAATGGTGTGTGCTGTATCGACGAGTTCGACAAGATGGACGACAGTACTCGAGCCGTCCTGCACGAAGTTATGGAGCAACAGACTCTGTCAATAGCTAAAGCTGGTATTATCTGTGTCCTGAACGCTCGAGCTTCAGTTCTTGCTGCAGCTAACCCTTGTGATTCAAGGTGGAATGCTAAGCTGACTATTGTCGAGAACATCAAGTTACCCCACACTCTACTATCTAGGTTAGGACTGACTTGGGGTTTGTTGGTATTTCCTTCTCTGTTTATAATCCTCCTGTCATTAATGTACATGTACTCTATCCCTAATTATTATAGTTTTCTACTGCATTACTGCAGACAAGTGTATAAAAGCCTGTTAGATAAATACACAGCCTCTTATGTAATTGTTTAAATTACAAATTACTGCAGGTTTGATTTGATATTCCTGATGTTGGATCCTCAAGATGAAAGTTTTGACAGAAGATTAGCAACACATCTTGTATCACTGTACTACAGAAACGGGGCCAAAACTAAAGCTGAGAGCATTGTAAGTAAATACCGTGGGAAACTGTACACAACGCGTAAGTAATATAAGCGTACCTGTTAAGTTATGCTCTGCAGCAAGCATACAATGTGACGCAGTACGAATTGTTAAATCATACTGAAACTGCTCAATTTCACCGTTAACCGTTGAAAGGAAAGTCGCTGTCTTCCGGCATATTCGACAGGTATGCGGCATTGTTGTCGAAGTTTTAAGATCGACGTCGTTACTAGAATCACAACTTGATAGATGCAGGGCCGTAGCTGTCAGAAGTTGATAAATCGGAATTTTTGGAGACATTTGTGTAGGAAATCGGACTCGCCCCGGGCCAACTGCGCGCATTGATTACACGCGGGAAAACCGATTGTTCTGGAATTTAACTCTATTCTTCCAGGATTCTGAGGTTCTAAGGGACTACATAGCTTATGCTAGGACTTTCATCAACCCCAGGCTTTCAGACGAAGCTGGACAGAAGCTAATTCAAACTTACGTTCGTAAGTAGCCGCCAATTCTAACGTTTCTTTCACTGAATTGACTTATTGCTAGCAAAGTCGTATTGCAACGACATTCTTGCAAAAAGCATTTGTGAACAAATTTTCGCGCGCACTTTCTATCATTTTGTACACTCGTGGAAATTTGTATTTTCCCACGCTTTCGCCAGCGTTCAATATTATGTGATACATTTTGTAAACATGCACCACACTGCACACACACACACACACACAATAACGTTACATTTTTAACACCTAATTTATTTACTTCTTCCAGAGATGAGGAAGGTCGGAATGGGACGAGGTTCAGTTACTGCTTACCCTAGACAACTTGAATCTTTGATCAGACTGTCAGAAGCCCATGCTCGAATGAGGTTGTCAAATGTTGTAGAAGAGTTGGATGTTGAGGAAGCCACCAGGCTACATAAAGAAGCCCTTAAACAGGCGGCCACTGATCCTAAAACAGGTAAGTTTTTCGGTTGCACATTGCCTCTATTTGTTTTCCCCGCTTTTATTTACCTTAAAATTATCAAGTCGTTGCGATATACAGGGTATACACTATACACTATACACTATACAGTCGCTGTTCCTAAAGATAAGTAATTATACTTTGGGACAGGGACTGTGGTTGAGTCTGTCCCACATCCTAGTTTAGTAAACTTCCGGTATACCGGGTAGATGGTTTCTTCTGACCACCTTGTATTTTTTTTTTTTTCAAAATTCAAATAAACTTTACATCAATGTATTACAGTTATATTCAATAAAAAGACCACAATATCTCCTGTGAAGCAAAAACATGGAAAAAGAGAGCTAGAAAAATATTCATGATACTCAACACTACCAGACTCAGCTGGAGTGAGAAACAATATGTAAAAACATCAAGGTAAAATTTATTTCGGCTGAACCAAAACACGGTGGTAAGACCATAATTACATTGGTGCCGACCCTACATAAAATCATTAATAAATAATCAAGAGAACAAATTTAAATGTATACGATACCTTCTTGCTACTACTCCACAAACTTACACGACATAACAACAAAATAACATAATTAAATAATATTTTAATAAAACAATCTATAATCTAGCCACTCACGTACTGCGTGACGCGCTTGTTTCGGGTTGTTTCATAAAAGAAAAAACGGCGCGTTCTACTGCAGGTGCGAGGGGCAAATTATAGAGAGTATGACATTCATAAAGTAAAATATACATATAATATATAATATATATATATATATAATAATATTCCATGATGGGCCGTCTAATCAGGCCAGCATACGTCAGAAGACCAGAGAAATTCAGTTAGCTTTGTTTTGAAAATAGAAATTTTCTCAGTCTGTCTAACATAGGCTGGCAGTCAGTGGTCGACCGGGATCGAAATTTAGTCCCGGCCGGGACCGGGCCGGGATGACCTTCATCCCGGCCGGGACCGGGACCGGGACCGGGATCGAAATGAAAACCCGGCCGGGACCGGGATTAGCTTCATCCCGGCCGGGACCGGGACCGGGATTTTTCTAATATTTCTCAATCTCAGTTAAAATGAAACAGTGTTATATGTTGAATAAAATCTTCCAGAACAAACTGAGGTATGTCAAGTTAAAATTGACAGTAAGTATATTAAGTAGTAGTAACTACTCTATCTCTCTCTAATCTCTATATCTCTCTATCTTTCTCTATCTCTCTCTCTCTCTCTATCTCTCTCTATCTCTCTCTCTCTCTCTCTTTATCTCTGAGATAGATAGAGAGCCCCTGACTCTTGAATATTTCTAAGTTTGTTCGGACTTCAACTTTCTTCTAACATTTTGTAATTTGTTACTCATGAAGTGAACAGTTGAACATATAATTAATTTTGAACATTAGTAAATTTTGTTTGACTTGAAATTTGCCAACTACCATTGATCAAAATTCATAGAATTTTGATCATGTAACATAAACATTTCACATAAGACTTGAAAGTTGAATTTTCGATAAACTTTTGGCGACGAGAAAGTGAAATGATCTAACTATTAAGAAACACTGTAGAGCACTGTTGTAGTAAAACTTTTCGGAAAATGTTCACAGGTTCGTGAAATTTGGGCTCAAATATACGCTCTTAAACCGACTTTATTTTGGAAAAATCCCGGCTAAAATCCCGGCTAAAAACAAAATCCCGGCCGGGACCGGGACCGGGACAAAATCACCAAATCCCGGCCGGGATCCCGGTCGAGCTCTGCTGGCAGTGCATTCCACAGAAGCATTGTTCTATAAAAGAAGCTGTTTCTGAAACTATCGCAGTTTGGTACAATAGAGCAGGTATATGTGCTGGTGTCAAGTCCTTCAATGACTGATGCCGTGCTCCTTGTGTACCTCATTGTTCCAGCTTCAACAACAGTAATATATTCAGGTAGAGATATACTTACCAAATCATTTACTATTTTATAGAAGAGCGTAATTGAGTTATGGATGAACTTAGATCTAATGGGTAGAATTTTAAGCTCCTTCTGCTTCTCATAGAATACAATATCACTATATAATGATCAAACTGTTGTCCATTGATCCATTTGATCGCTCTTTTCTGGATTGCCTCAAACTTCGACATGTGTGTCGATCGCTGAGGACACCATATAACTGAGCAATGTTCAAAGATTGATCCTACAATGGTAAGGTAGAAAGCCCTCTTTTGGCGTTTATCCATGGTAAAATGACAGGTTCTCTTTAAGAGCCCAAGCTTCGAGCTTGCTTTAGATATCAATTGATCACAATGTGCACCCCACAGAAACCTGTTGTTCATTATTACACCAAGATCTGTATGGGATGCCACATAATCAATTATGACTTCATTAAGATTATACCAATAAATATTAAAAGGAAGATTGTCTAATACATTTCTTTGCAGAGTTACAGATAACACCTTACACTTTGAAGGGTGAAAAGTCATTTTGTTATCGATTGACCAGGCAAACAACCTGTCTATATCTCCTTGGAGAATATAGTGGTCTTCAAAGCATTCGATGACCCTCCAAATTTTGGTGTCATCTGTATACAATGCTACATTTGTATCCTCCGAAACACACGGGAACATGTCGTTGATGAATAGAACAAACAGAAGTGGTCCCAGAATAGATCCCTGGGGCACTCCTGATTGCACGGGAAGCATGCTTGAGACAGCTCCGCCTACAACAACCTGCTGTCGTCTGTCTTGTAAATACGACTTTAAAAATCTAAGCATCAGACCATCAATACCATATAAATTTTTTAGCTTGCGAAGGATTAAGTCATGTGATACACTGTCAAATGCCTTAGCAAAATCAAAATAAACAATGTCGGATCTTGACTTATTGTTCAGGGCCAGTGCAAGGTTGTCTGTGAATGGGACCATCTGGGTAGTGCAAGACTTCCCATTCACAAAACCGTGTTGTCTACAGTCGATTAACCCTTTACAAGCTGCGAGCAACTCTTTCGAAATACAACGTTCAAAAACTTTCATAACTAAGCATGTCAGTGAGATGGGTCTGTAATTTTCAACAGATCCTTTTTCACCCTTCTTGTGTACCGGAACAACAGAAGCAAGCTTCCATTCCTCCGGCACACATCCAGTCACAAAAGAGGTGTTGAAAATCATGGTTAGAGGCTTTGCAAGAGTGCTCGCACAATTTTTTAACACAGTGCCATGGATACCATCTGGACCTGTGGCTTTACCCGGTTTAACCCCTTTCAAAATTAACAAAACATCCAACACGTGAAATCTCAAATCCATGAAATTGTTACTGGAGCTCATGTCGATGTCAATGTCATATGAGCTACTTGAGGAGAATTGTTGATAGAAGTATTCATTGAATAAGCTAGCCTGTTCAACTGGTGTGTTCCTAAAACGATCACCGTATCGGACCGTTTCAGGTATCCTAGTCGACTTAGACTTTGATTTCACGTGTGTCCAAAACTTTTTGGAAATAAGGGCAGAATCAGAATCATCTTCGACACTGAGTCTCATCTTTTCGTTCATTATGCGTTTAAAATCTTTGCGGTACTGACGGAACTTTTCAAGATCAGACTCATTGCCAGATTCATTAGCCTTTTCTCTCCATTTCTCTTTATCTCTCAGAACCCTATCACAATCAGAGTCATACCAAGGCGGCTGAAACTCACACTTAACATTTTTCTTTGGGATATATTCATTGCAGAGTTTAATCAGAACATCTTTGAAAAGAGGCCAGGAAATGTGTGGATCATGAGACCCAGCCACATTATCCCAATTGACCCGCCTCAGAGCAAAGTTCAAGCCGTCCCAATTGGCTTTGGTATAGTTATATAATATATACTTTGCGTTTAGGAGACTTTCTGCGGCTGACATTGAAGTTTATCCCAAAGTTGATACCAAAGTGGTCAGATAAGCACGCCTCATTATGATCCAGTATTTTTAAATTGGTAATAATATTAGGGACATTTGTGAACAGTAAATCAAGCACATTCCCTGCTTTATGTGTAGGTTCATTAATTAGTTGAGTGTGTCCTAGGTCACCAGTAAGGAAATCCAGGAAGCCATTTTGCAGTTCACAGGATGTCTCACCAGCAGGCCAAGAAACACAGTTCAAATTCATATCTCCTATTAAAGGACCAGTTAACTGAAAAAAAATTTATCCTCATATTTTGACAGATTGTGACAAATAGCAAACTAAGCAACGTGTTGAAATTCCTAAATCTCTAACTGCTCTCTAACGCGTGTAAATAGCGTTTGTATTATTTTGGCGATGACGTCATAAAGTCCCTTGCGCGCGCAGAAGAGCTCGTGAGACTGTATTTTACAGGTAGAAAATGGACATAATACAATGTTTTTCCCCGAATAACTCGAAAAGTAAGTAATTTAGGGTACATGTTGCTTCATAAGTTGTATATAAACATGGCCATTCTGCACAATTTGCACACATTCAAAAACCTTTAGGGCCTTCATAGCCCAATTTACCAGATATCCATAGTTTTGCATGATTTCTGGAACCGAAAATCAGTTTTTCCCCAATAAATGAAAAAGTAAGCACTTTAAGGCATATGCTTGTTCGTAAGTCATATATTAATATGCTAATTGCGGTTCTTTTGCACCCTGTCTAAAGACTCTATCACGATCCTATCGAAAATGGGCTCAGCACCACGCCCAAAATGGTTTTTGGCGAATTTTTCGAAAAGTAAACACTATATAAACATGCATATGCGGCTTCGTTTAAGCCTATTTTGAAGTCTCTACTCTACGACCTTCAGAAGCAAGGGGTCGGTTACGTTATTGGGTCAATATGGGCGTGGCCCTCCTGGGTTTTCTCCACGGTAAAAAAATGTCTCCAAACGAAAATCGTTTATTCATACCTTCGGGAAGGTCTGTGCAAAGTTTCGTGAGTATTTGAATATTTGCAGGTTCATTTCCATAAATGTCCATAAATGACTGGACTACACAACTTTAGAGTTAACTTTAGAGAAACTTATTAGTCATTTATCTCAAATCAAGCTGTTAGTGTCCATGATCAACCTGTGGCGACAATGTTTTACGTGAAATGTAAAAATCAGGAGTAATATAAAAAGTGTATTTTTAGATTAAAGTGCTAGCTCATAGTTTTAGAATTGTATAGATTAAGTATTAACGTTGGTCGTTTAGCCATCTAACAATCGATCGTGCCGTAATATATGGCCAGAGAATAATAGGGTCTTGGAAATTCTATAGTTGTTCAGTGGGACGATTGACTGAACACGTTTGCACTTGGTATTTAAACTTACCAGTAGTTTATTTATGTTATGTACCGATGATAATGCAATTAGGATAACAACTAGGTAAGCCGTAAGTCTAATTCAAGACACACCGCACACCGTACACTCCAAGTCCAATCAGTATTACTATTTGGTAATACCGGGTATTTTGGCGGGAATTCTGTTCCCACGGCACTGTTCTGATAGAAACTACTTCTACTAATGGTCCCAGAGGAACGGCCGTAAAGTAGCCAGACTTCTTGTCTCCTGTGCTGGCTGACACATGCGGATTAAAGTTATAAATTTCGCTATGCTATAAATATAATTGCTCTCGGAATTGAACAAACTCCTACTTATCTAGATCCTTTCTAAATTCGTTAGAGTTTCATGGACTGGGGAAAAATAATCGGCACAGTCTCCCTAGCTGATTGTGTAATTAAGCAATGAAAACAATTCAAAATTATCACATATGAGTTATGACATAAGTTGTAATAGCAGAAACTTTCTAACCGTACATTCACCCGCCACTGTTCAAGAACCTATATCACTGTTTAAAATCATGACGTGAGCACTGTACATCCAATCAGCTATTCCTTTAGTTAGAATGATAGCCAAAACTATAAGGATTTTGGAGAACTAGGGTAATAGTCATAATTCTAAAATTTGAGTGAGTTACACGTGTTTTATTGACGATGATAAACATTTGTAATGTAAATTACGCTATGCAAGCGCGCACTGAGGGACTTTGTGACGTCACGAGGCCACAGCTTATTATTGCAATAACACGCGTTACAAGTACGCTAGAGAGTTGGTTCTTTCGGCGAAACGATTCTTTACCAGTTTGTCACAGCTGATTTAAATCTTAGCCAAATTGGAGACTACAAATTTTTCAGTTAACTGGTACTTTAAAACATGCTTGTCAATCTTCTTTTTTAAGGCAAGAGTTCTAAAATAATTAGAAAATTCCACGTAATTGTCGTCGCTTAGAGTCCCCACTCTATAAAAAGTCGAAATACACAACTTTCTACCAGTCGGAAGCTTCAAGACAACAGACAATAACTCAGCTTGAGCTTTCACTACAGCTATCCTAGCACTAGTAACATCTAGATCAAATCTATGAGCTATTAAGACTCCACCCCCGTTTTTTCTAAACCTCTTAGGTCGTTCAGGATCCCATGGATGAGTTTTGAGGGACCTGTCCAGCCTAAAGATTTTATAACCAGAAGGTAAAATCTCACTATCCAATATTGACTTTTTCAGCCAAGTCTCATTTAAAATAACAATATCAGGTTTGTTTGTATACAAAAAACCATGTAGTTCATGTACTTTCGTCATGTTAAGTGGTGGGTTAACTGACGCAAGGTCACGAGTGTTAATTAGACCTTGTACATTGTTATAAAAAACAGATATAGGCTTTTTCCCAGGTCCTGGATTTAAAAGTGACGTGTTACATATAATAAGCAATATTAGGTTCAGGGAGAAAGTGTAGATAACCAGAGCAATCTGATCCTGGACCTATGCTGCTCCCTGAACAAAAGAAACAAAAACTCTGTCATATTAAGGGTACTATCAGCTCTCGTAGTATATCTCATTGTCTAGCCTTACTGACAGTTAAATTCAATTAAACACCAAAACTATTTTATGAATTGTATCAGACTTCTTAAAAATAATCTCTAGTCGGCAATAGCTTTAATAGTGAGAAGAAGCGGTTCCTAGAGTCGTATATTACAGTTAGCAGAAACATATAACGAACATGATTGTTTCACCTCACACTCAGTTGCACGTGCACAGAATTTGTCGATCTTTTCTACTAAACCATACCTCGCGCCATATTTAATATGGTACGGGGTATGGTTTAGTAGAAAACTTTTATTTTCTTGATGGTAATATGGTCCATATTACCATCAAGACAATAAAACGTTTATTAATGTCCCTAATGGTGTTTACAAACAAGAATCCCATGTGATGATAATCTTGCTCCTTCGTCATGTGAATTCTATTTTAAGCTATTTGTTCGCATAAATTGTAAACTATTATTGAAGCATCACTAATTGTCAGTATATTGAGAACATAAACTCTGGCACTCATAGAAATCGTCTTGGCAAATAAAGATAGCTTATGCTATTCAGTCGTAACGAAGTTAGTGTTGCTGTAATCTCTCCAAACAATCATGTTGGAGGTCACTCCGTTAATCATTATACTTTTCAATACAAAGAATAGTATTAATTCTCATCTGCCACATTATAACGATTACGAACAAAATGTATTAAGTGGGGGGCCATTAAGTTCATATAAAAGTAGCAACTTATCTATAATAACGTGTCTCATTTACAGGTCAGATTGATATGGAGATATTGATGACTGGAATGAGTGCTTCAAGTCGAGCGAAGAGAACAGAACTGGGAAAGTTTGTCTTACAGACATTAAGAAATGCCAACCGTTCTTTCAAGATGAACGAGCTGTTCGACACCTGCAAAGAGGGCTACAAAGACGGTTTCACTCAGGTATGAGAGGTTCTAAATGCTAAAATATACTCTAAATGTTTTGAACCAGATTGTGTCATTTGTGAGGACTCGTGTATTACTTTTATGTTTCTGGACATAAAGTAGTAGATGTTTTAAGATATACCGATTGTTATTATTGATGGAGGGTCTACTGTGAAGGTTTTACCTTGTTGGTCGTTCTGATTTAATTTCTGTGAAATTAGTACGATAAATCTTACTCCATTAGATACAATACGAGATGGTGATAAGAGACCTGCAAGAAGAAAACAAAGTAGTCCAGACCAGCAACAGACATATTCGACTCAAAGATGCTTAGAAACTCTGCTTTTAGAGTTCATCACATTCTAGCCTACAGAAGATGTCTTTGTGTTCCTGTACTCCTGAAAGAATAATGTATCAATCGAAATAAAACGACACGAACGTTGGATATCATAATGACAATCATGTGTTTGCGATAACCTCAAACAGTTTTATGAAGGTAGAAATGTTGTTTTTGGGTTCTAACCGAGCTGTACTCTTTTTTTCAGTAAATGGTGGTCCATTTTTAACCTATTGTGCTCTATGACCAGAGAAATCAAATGAATTTTAAATTTTTTATTTGGTTTTTATTTCCTCTTTTAAATTAATATGTACTTTATAATATTTATTTGAATTGTACTTACTTATGTTTCACAAGTTGAACTTGATGAATATTGGAACGTGCTACACGATGTAATGTTTCATCGAGTTATGATGTTTTAAGCCAACAATTAATAATGATGTGAATGTTGCATATCCATTTCTAGAATCTATTTCATCAAACAAGAACATAGTGCACTTTATTTACTTTACATTACAGACACCAGTAGTAAAGGCGCTAACTTTTCCTCGTTTAGAAGTCTGCCGAATCCGAATTTTAGTAACCAGGCACCAGCCGATCCTAAAAAATTGAATCTCGACTTCAATGCAAGTGTATAACGTCAAACGTTGATTGTTAGTTGTGACTTTCAGTTATTTTGGCCATAACTGTTTCTCCCAAGACTATGTCAGAAATGTCAGGACCGGACAACTAACAAGTTATAAGCTCCCCGGCTTTCGCCGTATGTACCATATTCCACATGAAAATGAGAGATATAAGCGCTGTTATTCTTTCCTATCGTGTGTAAAGCGTTCATTCATGACACCATCACGTGACTCTATTGTGACATTAAAATAACTGTTCGTCTAACTAAACGGTAAATTTTTAATTTCCAGGAGGTCTGATTAATCTTAAGTTAACTTAACATCTTACTATATATTAAGTGTAGTGAGATGATAATTATATCTATCTGTTGCCATTTGACTGATACCACTACTTTCCGTGAAAACCGTTAAGGCTATACTATTGAAACTTCTTTAGCTGGGTCGAATGCTTGTAATTGGCCCTATCACCAGTAGGAAGAAATTCAAAATTGGCCAATGAATAAATAATTTGGGTCTCACCCAGGTGGTGTGAAAGACACAATGGCATAAATGGAGAAAATGGAGAATTACTCATAGGTTTTTCCATTTTCTCCATAGAAATAGTCTCCATTTTATGCCATTTTATGCCATTGAAAACCTGAAAAATTTAGAATTTCGAGAAAAATTATTTTAAAAAAAGATATTTTCGGCCAATAATGAACAGGGTATCATGAAACATGGAGAAAAGTGGTTTTCAGAAAAACTTTGAAAATGTTGACTTAGAAAATGTTCGGTCCGAGTCATTTTCGATACGTACCTCCCGTATCGAGAGCTCCCGATTCCGAGCTCGTGTTGCAAAGGGGAGGCCTGCCTTCCGAGATCGCATTACCTCGAGTCCAAAATTGTGTATCGAGGGGAAGGTGTGGACTTCGAAAAACCGATAAAATATTTTCGGCAAATAATGAACAGGGTAGCATGAAACGTGGAGAAAAGCGGTTTTCAGAAAAAATTTGAAACATTTTGACCGAAAAAATATTTTCGGCTTATAATGAACAAGGTAGCATGAAACGTGGAGAAAAGTGTTTTTCAGAAAAACTTTGAAAAATTTTGACTTAGAAAATTACCCCTCGATACACAAATTTGGACTCGAGGCTTCCCCCTGGTAATGCGATCTCGGAAGGCAGGCCTCCCCTTTGCAGTGCGAGCTTGTTTCGACTTTCGAGGATGTAGGTCTCACTTCTCAGTGCCTATTACTCTCCCCTATTACTCACTCCTGCTGTAGCCTGTAGAAATAACTTTACACTAGGCTTGAGTAATTATGAGTTTGCCTGAAGTGTGCCTCTACTAACCTAGTATAAGCATCTAGTAGCCTACTATGAGCTTTCATAAGGTTGTTACGCCCCTAGTAAGCGTAAATAAACATGTTAGGATGTCCAATTTAGGTGTTAAATGGTGTTAAAGATGAAATTTCGAAGACAAAATTCATGGCATAAAATGGTGAAAATGGAGAATTACTCATGGGTTTTTCCATTTTCTCCATAGAAAAAGTCTCCATTTTATGCCATTTTATGCCATTGGCCCCCCCCCCCCCCCCCCCCCCCCCCCAGTACTGGCAAAACCCTAATATTAAGCTCAAACACTGACGCTAAGTGCAAACGATCGAATCCGTACTTTACTTGTCTGTCACGTGACCAAAACAGATTTTTGCCCATAACTCTTTGTTTTAATCCTACATGCCATGGGGTTGATTCATATCGTATCGGTATACACATACATCGAATGGAGCTACTTTTATACCCTATAGGCCCTTTTGTGAAATATTTTCAAATCCCTGGCGAGTGATTCAGTGGAATTGTCTACTGTGTATATAAATAATAAGGCTACTGTATATACCTTATCGGACCTTATTTGAACGGACATTAATTGAACCCTGGAGGTCCTAGCGTTCATCTTAATGTCCGTTCAATTTAAGTTAGTCCGTTTAAGGTCCGTTCAAGTTGAAGTCTGTTGGGATTTTTTTTCAAATTTATTCCATTGCGAACTCATGTTTAGGATCTGACAACTTTTTAATTTCAGTCAATCGTACTTTCTATCATCGGATTCGGACTAAACTATATCATTGGATCAATAAAAAACGAGTTATTATACAATTTAAATATTCTAAGTATCACATTATGGCATGATCACTTTCTTGATCTTCGGCTTCGGAGTTATTGTTTAGCTCTACATCTTGTAAAAGTTTACACTGATATGCAGGACCGAGGTGGTCAAATAAATTATTACTGGTATTACTGATATGATGCTTTTTTAAGCATGGAATATTTAATACACGATAACCCATTTGAGGAAAATGACCTGTGATATGATCATAAAATCTTGTCATATTTCGTATCAGTTGTTTTTACACAACTTTCATAATCAATAATCATAGATATTTTGACATTTTCAAATAAGGTCCGATAAGGTATACATTTATCACATTGCACATGCCTTCTCATGCGATATCAAAACTTTCGCCCACGAGGCTTGCCGAGTTATCGAAAGTTTCGATATTTCCCGAGGCTTGCCGAGGGTTATAATATCGATATTTCCAAACACGAGGCTTGCCGAGTTTTGAAAATGTTGATATCGCACGAGAAGGCATGTGATTAATGTTTTATTACACTTTCTTTGGAGCCAAATTTTGCCCGGAAAGCAGAATTTGATCAGACGTTGGTTATGAATCCCACCAAAGCAAAGCTCTTCGCCCCAAACAATAAGCTGACAAATTCCTGAGATACCAAAAGTGGGACTTTAAGAACAATAGACACTGATCTACAGATTTTTTGACATCTTTTACTGCTTTACCATTTACGACTGCCTTTCTTGCTCATTGTTTGACAAATTAATTTACAAATTATCTGCTAAAATTTTTAAAAAGATGACAAAACCTGGATTTTTGACTGTTTTGAATCTTGAATGCCTTCGAGCGTTCATTTAAATGTCCGTTCATAATTATGTCCGTTCATTTAATTTTAATGTCTGGTCAGATAAGGTATATAATAGGCTTCCTTTCAGTAACATGAATAATGTCGACCACAGTTCTTTTTTGTTTTATGTGACGTAACCTAGATCTTCCGGCGAATGAGGAATTTGAAAAATTCTACTCCTGTGAAGATAAACTTAATTTTACGGAGATTCCTTTAACTTAAATAACATCAAACATTGTCGTTCGTCTTACATAACAGTACATCCTATGTGACCTAAGCTCAGATGCTCTTTGTAGCAAAAGGAATTCTAAAAATTAAGTCTAACTTTTGCTTTTGAATTCTTTTTGATGAATGGAGAGACTTTATAGAGCATAGAGATCTTCTGAAAAATTTATAATTTTGACCAGTATGCAGTAAATGAGTAAACAAGTACGTGACCACTTATTCCCACGTGCTGCAAAGAAGACCTACAAAAATGTAGGTCGTGTGAACTGAGACGAAAAAATTACTGCGGTGTGTGCGCTAATATATTAAATAGTTTGTCAATGTGCAATGTGGTGATCGTGATCAATATTTACCGTGATCAGACAACCAACAACGAATTGCAAAAAAGTGTCAAACTTCCAATAAAATCTCTATAACCTTGGTAGAGTATTTATTATTATAATTTCCTTTCATCAGTACTTATACTGATAAATAATTGATAAAGAAAAGATTGATATCAAAATGAATTAACAACAACTCTATTATTGGTGAAAATTCACAATTCAAGCCCTATACTATATAGTTCATATATAATAGTATAGCCCTAGTACATATATAATATATAATTGTAATTTAGATGGAATAATTTAAGCATCATTATAAGTTTATTGACAATGCTAATCTTGACATACGTTGCATGCCACTTTTCGCGCGCGAAGCGCGCGCCGCCGAAGGCGGAAAATATATATTTTATCTCTGATATTGGGATACGAAACATGTATCAATGCTAATCCTTCCATGTTCCAATTCCACTATTATATGCAGTACTCTGCTCTAAGTCTAAGTCTAACTGCTAACATAACAAGCGCGTCACGTGCATGTGACGTAGTACTAGCACATAGTACGCGAAGGCACATGGTTAGGTTTAGTGAACTCTGTTGTCTGTACTCGCCACTGTGCACTGAGCCGCGCATCAATTTCAAATAATGTTTCTCGCCAGATCGTAATGATGCATTGTATCACATATCACGTGGTGGTATAGTTTCTACGATACAGGGGAGCCGCGCACTCGTGCGCGGCGGGTCAAACAACGTATGACAAATGATCATTACCACAGCTGCTGTACTGGGCCTCTACGAGCTGTGAAGGATTGACAATCAACCATGATTATCATATCGTAGCTCTGCAAGGATTGGATGAATATAGTAGAGGCTCTTACGGGCATTGTCTGCTCGATACGTTAGGGACCCCAGATACACCTTACTAGACGTATTTTTGACCGTAGAATCGATTGAAAGTGGTTTCAAGATGATTGGACTGATTGTTCTGGGGTAAAATCGCAAAAAACCGATTTTTGGGCCAAAAATAGGCCAAAAAACCATGTTTTTTGATATTTTGAGCAAGTTAATTTTGTTGGCATGTCGGCAAAATTTGCATAAAGATAGCTAAAAGACAGCCGCACAAGATTGTATAAAAATAAAACAAATCCCTCTATTTGTTCTGAGGTAAAAATCCAAAAAAGTGGTAAAAATTTTGACTTTTTTGCTTTAAGTTTGAATAATTTTTTGCAGTTGTATTAAATCAACCCAAAAATAGTCACATCGTGTTTGCCTAAATTTTTCCTTTCCGAGAAGTACCCACTTCATATACTTAATCGAAGTTTGAATATTGTCACTCCGCAAGCGTTTTTGCCAAATTTTCGACGCGCACTACGCGCAAAAGCATTTAGTTGTTATCAATTGGCACCCGCGCGTTCATCATAAATTTCAAACAGCTATAACTCAGCGAGATTATGTCCGTTCTAGCTCATATTTTCACACTAAATAGAAAATAATGTGATCTTATTGCTGACAAAATATGGATATAATTACTTTATTTGCCTTAGAGTAATAGACTGTCAAAGTTTAAAACGCGCATTGGTATAGCACGTGACTAATAAGGCCAAATTTATACTTCTTAACATATTATCGATCCTTAGACATCATACTATTGTGTCCAATTAGCGGTTAGGTCTCTAAACTCGTAGCAGAAAACACGTCTTTTTGCCCGTAAGAGCCTCTACTAATAGAACGATGTCGTCAAGCCCGCTCCTACTAAATCGCTCGCCCAAATTTTAAGAAAATTCTTGTGAAAAGGCCCTTTAGGCATGAATGTGATCTCAATCGGTGTATTTTTGAACGCTGATTCCGAATCACCCCCCATGACGTAGGGTTAAAATGCTTCCCTGGAGAGTTATGAGCAAAAAACCGTTTTGGTCACGTGACAGGCTAGTCAAATACGAATTCGATTGTTTAGGGCCCGGGTTAGGGTTAGGGTTGTGGTAAGGGTTATGGTTAGCTTTGGGGTTATGGTTAGGGTTAGGGTTGGGATTAGGGTTTATGTAAAACCGTTTTGTACGGCTGCAAAACCATAAAAACCAAAGTCACGTGAAATTTTTGGGCGAGCGAATTAGTAAGAGCCCGTCAAGCCTGATAGTGCGCGCGTCGAGTGTCGTAAACCATTGTTAATGATTTGGCCCGGCGCGCGCTACTTCGTAGCACTTGCTGCATCGGGCCACTTGCCATCGGGCCTAATATTTCGAGAAGAAAGCGGCGCGCGCTACTTCGAAGAAATTTAGACGAGTTACATCCGTCAACGAATGTCGAAGCGACGACGTCCTTCAAAACTATCAATTATACTTGTAGTGTTCATGTCCATTAACAATGGACATGAACAATTAACAAATATATACCATATAGTTTATCGGCTATGCATAATTATCACGGACAACTTTTTCACGCGGACCAAATTATTCACAAACATAAGTTGTAATTATTCACGCTCATGACCGCTCTTAATTGACGATGTCAATTCATGTGCATGGCAGCTCGGCGCGGCACAGTAGCGCATCTCGCCGATCTGTGAGAAGCATTATTGAGTGCGCGGCGCGGCACAGTAACGCATCGCGCTACAAGACCGCTCAAAAATTTCAAAAAATTGTGAACATTTTTGCATTTTTGATGGTTTACTATTTTTCTGAGCTCTAGAATGTGAGTGCAGAGTGAGGACAGAGGAGTGATTATATTTGTCCTATAAGTATACTAATAAGCTAATATAGTAATAGGCTACACACATATTTACGCATATTATGATGTAGAGACACATGATGTAGAGCGCTTTTATTAATTTGCTCGCCCAAAAATTTCACGTGACTTTGGTTTTTATGGTTTTGCAGCCGTACAAAACGGTTTTACATAAACCCTAATCCCAACCCTAACCCTAACCATAACTCCGAAGCTAACCATAACCCTTACTACAACCCTAACCCGTACCCGAGCCCTAAACAATCGAATTCGTATTTTACTAGCCTGTCACGTGACCGCAAAACGGTTGACATACGTTGCATGCCACTTTTCGCGCGATACGAAACATGTATCAACAAAACGGTTTTTTGCCCATAACTCTCCAAGTAAGCATTTTTACCCTACGTCATGGATGGTGATTCGGAATCAGCGTCCAAGAATACACCGATTTAGATCACTTTCATGCCCAAAGGGCCTTTTCACAAGAATTTTCTTAAAATTTGGGCGAGCGATTTAGTAGGAGCGGATGTAGAGACACGCACACTAAAATTAATGGAAATAATTACCGAACTTTATTATTCACGGACCTTACTGCTTATATAATAATATGTATTATATTTTGCTAAACCAATGAGATTGGAGATTACTCAAACAGTTTCCACAAAATAATAACAATTCGATCTATGACCAAGTACCTGATAAGCCTAATAAATGGCTTATTATGAGATGACTTTGTATTTGAAAATATTAAGTACGTACATAATTGCGTGTGCGCGCGCGTGATATTGGATACGAATCGAGCGCCAATCAAGAGTATAAAAGCCTTGCCTCACGCGTGACAAATTTGGCAGATGTTGTTTAGACTTGTATAACTAGGTTGAGTACAGGATCTAACCGACGACGAATGTTTTGCTATGAATCTAGTTTAAATGGTTTTTATGAACCTCGACGTGCATCACCCGATGGATGCAATATTGATGACGATAAGACCTTAAATAACTTGTTGAGAGTCAGTACTTTTTACCGATCAGACCCAAAGTACTTGGAAACGAAACAAGAGAATGGTTTTACAGAGTCTATGAGAAGTCAACTAACTGAATGGATGTTTGGAGTAAGTGCATTTTTGTTATCGAAATCTGCTTTCAAATAACAAAAAGAGCTTACTTTTCTATCTGACGTTGAATCACTCTATCGGATGTTTCGGTTTGCACCATCTTCCCATTAAAGTTTGGCCGCTTTTAAACTGATTTCCTGTCGATTCTTTGAAGTTGATAAATATTGACTGCCTTTAAAGTCTTACGATTTCTAAATATCAAAATAGTGGTTTTCTATCAGTCGATGGTTAAGTCTTAAAATAAGTCGCATACAAGTGATTTCTTAACGACCGATCTTCGTGCCTCGGTGCTTTGGTTCTAAGTAACTGCTACTCAGTCACGGTGTAAATATTGATATCTATGTAATGTCACTTCTGACCTTGTGTTCGACAAATGAAGGCATATGGCATAACGATCGGAGGAATGGCTCGAATTCTTTGCTTGGTAAAGACTTTTGAATCGGGCATGAAGCGTACGTGTAATCGTTGAATTCTATCTCCGCGCAGAATTATCGCGCAACGATTTCCACACGTGCAATAATTTGTGTGTAGCAACTAGACACGTCATCTCTGATCTCCCGGCTATTCGAAGTACAACATCGTTTGTTGTCTGGAACTCGGATGTTTGTCTTCTGTCGGTGGGAAAAGTTGTGGTCACCACGTTACTTTCTATTATGCACTCTTGTTCGAAGCATGCGAACTGTTTATCATCCGTGATCGGTAGCACCATGTTCGATCACGGAAACTACTGTTATCGATGACTTGTCACTCGTGAGAAGAGGCCCAAAAGCACTGGTCTGGCTTCAACCTATTCAAAATACTATCCTAATAATAATTGGTAGTTGTGCAATCCGTCGACACCGATGAAAGTGTCCCCCTTTTCCCAAGATTGCTGATTTTATCTCCACTCTTCACACCCTCGTGAAGTGGTGGTGAAATGTAGATTTGGTATGCACCAAGTGTTACTTTACAATTTACTCTCGGCTAGATCAAATAACAGACTTCTGTCCTCCCTTGCTGAACATGAACAGGCCACATTCCTCGCAGCAAGCAATCACTCCAATTATCCCGAAATCCCTAATGAATTTCTAATGCTACATGACATTTTTATATGGGTATCATGTAGATGTATCGTATATATGGACCAAGATTTCATCTCACGATACATTACGTGAATTAATTATGATATTATTAGTCTGGTCTAACTCTAATTTTTCCAGATATCAGATATTTGTGAAGACGGTGTCCTGCCCCACGCTGTGAACTTACTCGATAGATATCTATCCCTCCAAAAGGTAAATTTATACCGGATGAAATTTGGTGCTGGGAAGTTTCCGTTCCGGAGAACAATGAGGAATGAATGTGGGCGATATGGGGACCCAGCAATTTAGTACGCCCTCTCATTCTTTTCCCATTAATCAATCCTGAACTGCGATCATTATCCAGAATTGGATTTCAAATTTTATATATATTTATTCAGCGGTGTGTAGAGTATATTCTTTGCGAAAAGTAAACATTACATCATACTTGATCGCAAAATTACCCGATCATCAGATTCTAACTGAGAGCTTAATAAGAATTAATTGAATTTTCCGGGGGCCGTGGATCTGTGGTAACCTGTTCAAGTTTTCCTGCCCAACACTAGCTCTCTCCCTCTCGTTCGACTACACGAGATGTCTGATTCGTGTGTAAATTCCTTAACCCACACCGCACTAGCTCGACCGGCTAGCTGCCCCGGCCTCAACTTTTTAATATTTTCCATGTTGTCCGCTATTTAGGGTTATTACATCCTAAATATAGAAGTGATGTGAGTTTATATATACCACGACTTCAGGTCGAGAGGCCCACAGAGGAGCTGCAAGTGCTCGGAGCGACGTCCCTGTTTATAGCCAGCAAGCTGCGCGAAGCGACCCCACTTTCCGTGGACGGACTAGTGGAGTGCGGTGGATACAGCTACTCCATCAGGGATGTTAGAGTAAGTGACCAGCTGCCCAAACCGGTTTAATTTGAGACTACATAACTACATAAGCTCTCTAGAGTCTAGTAGTCCGATAGCATCGATAACATGAGCTCTATAGTCTGGTGAAATTGTTAACATGAGCTTCATAGTTTGACAGATTTTATGTGAGATGGAGCCTAAAGTTGATGAGAATGTGTGTGGATAGTATGGATTGGTTGATTAGGTCTACATTGATACATTTACTATACATTCCTTTGGGATTTGGTAAGAAAACATATGAACTGACCGGTGTGTAATTAATAGGGTAATTAAGTCCGTTTGAAACACACCTTAGCTTAGAGTCTGATTGGTTTTCCTGGAATGTAATAGCTCGGATTGGTTTCCTACTCGGCTGGTCACACCTCTAGATCTGGGCTCAATTCCCAGAACCCCTCTGTAAACACGTGTAAAGGTTTCTCATCAGATCGACAGGTATGGAATAGGAGTCAAGGTGCGAATTTACAGAATTAGAAATATTAAACATAAACTTATCATATTAACTAATAGCATATAAATTATAAATTTGTCTTTATTGTCGCAGCTGCATTTGATGTGGAGGTGGATCATTGTATTGGTATAATTAAAGTTAGCAGTGTGCTATTAGCTGAATATTATCAAGCTTAATGTTGCGAAAGCAGTAATTATATGCACCGATCTTGATATAAAACTTGTAACTAAAGTTAGTAACTAAAGTTAGTAACTAAAATTAGTAACTAAAGTTTATAACTAAAGTTTGTAACTAAAGTTTGTAACTAAAGTTTGTAACTAAAGTTTGTTAAACTAAACTGTTAAACATCCGCGTAAATGTTATTTGTCACTTTTCCTTTACTCGCCATTTCCTACGATGATTTAACACGTGTCAAAACGAATTACGAAACATAAAAAAACGAAATAAGCGGAAAAAGTTCACAGTATTTATAACACTTTCTCTTGTCTGTAATTTTGTAAATCCTTTAAAGTATAGTAAATAATACCACCTGACCACCTAGTCCCTACCCAAATTTAGTTTCCACCCGTGTCACCTATCATGCTCTATAAATAGCACAAGTAATCTTCATTTAACATGGCTAATATTTTATATTTCTCTCGTAGGATTGAGTCACTTTTGCGCTGAGAATTTGACTCTGGTATTTTGTACACTGACCTGTCCACACCTAGAAATATACGATATTATGTACAGCACACAAACTGCAGCTCTCAGTGGACGACGCCTTGCTTTCCCTGGAAAATGTACTGGGTGTGTAGATGTGTGTGTGTGTGTGTTGTCTGTTTGTACGTGTTTGTGAGCGTGTAGGCTGAAATCTACCGATCTCACTGTCCAGATTCCCTCTATTAGTTAGATCAACACTAACTTTGTTGATTCCGAAATTTTAAAGTCGTCTTGTAAGAGTTTCATTTAGTCAAGTCATGGGTGTGTACACGGGATTTAGGACAAATTAATGTCGTCAACGGGGTCATCTATTGCCATATATCCAGGCTGTTGAGTCCAAATCTTCTATTTTGGAGGGACAAGCAATGATTTATGTTATCCTTAAAATAGAAGGAGCTCTGAAAAAGAATGTCTCGTAGCTTCGCGATAACGTTGTTAACTTTGACTGAGCTTCGTTAAACTAATAACCTTCATTTGTAATACGATGATAAGCAATTATTACTTTCCCTTATCGAATGTCACAGGCCTCATGCCTCAATAGTATTGTTGAGAATATAATCTATCGATACAGGGAGGCCTGTGAATTGCAGAGAACTATTTATACAATTCAATAATTGCTATTTACTACGACATTGTTTTCGATGGCCTTGAAAAGAATTATTACAAAGCAAATTATTACAAAGAAATAATCACAATGTTTCAAAAGTGAACGGCGCCATAAAATATTCCTCCATTATAATTAAGGAAAGTGCTATAATTAACGGACTGTAACGGCATAATTATCTCAACACTTATTGTTTGTAATATTATAAAGCAACCCTAAAATGCTTACGTCTTCGAGTTATCAGTGGAAAACTGGAGATGTAAATGGCTTTTTCTGTTCTGTAAATATGCTACAGTGTTTCGCTGATAACTCAAAAGGTAAGCATATAATAGGGGATAAGTTGTATTATGTAAACATGACTATTGCGGGAATTTTGCATCCATCTAGAAGTTTCTGATACCTCTCCAGTCCAAAATACCACATATGTCAATTTACACACTATCTGCGGAGCCTAACTTTAAAAGAAAGTAATTTAATGTATGTAATGTTTCTTCATAAGTCATAGATAAATATACTAGAACTGCGGTTATTTTGCACTTTTTATCTGTTAGCAGGTCATTTTAAAAGGTCTAAAATATAAACAAAGACTAACAGACTTTTATGTGAGCACAGATTTTGAGCAAGACTTTTTGAATGGGATTAATTTTAAGATACACGATAAAACAGAATACTTCGTATCTTGCGGTACTTTTTAATATATCGTATTTTTAAGTGTGTAAAGTCCACGTTTAAAAGGTGTCTTTCTGTGTTAGCAATCTACTCCGTCTCCATATATTGACATTCCCTTTTTCTTCTGTCTCCACATCTCCACATTCCTCACCCCTTTTCCTCCTCGTCATCTCCACCTCCCTCAGCTCAGGTCCTCTTTCCTAGCTGTCCCCTGATCCAGTTCATATAGCACAGTTCAGAGCATGCTTGCGGGAACCTACTCTCGTATCCCCATAGCTATATCCAGACCTGGTTATTATCCAGCTTAATATCCTGTAATACTGTCAGCCTGGTCTTCCCACCCAATGGTGGGTGCCCTCTATTCCAGCCGGCCAATCAGACGTATGTGTCTGAACCACGTGGTTAGGAAGTGCCGGAGAGAAGCCGTGTGTCGGGTGAGCTAGACACGGCCGTGTACTCCGTCTAGACTCAGTAAAGCGTTTCCTACTAGGTGTGCTCTCTCTATCCGAGCTGTCCTCTGCCGCTGTCCAATCTTCACGTGATCCCCCTGTGAGCGTCTCTCCCCTCGGGGTCATGTGACTCAACTGCAATTGTCATTTCCCTGAAGTTTTAATGGTTTTGTGATTTGAAATGTCTCCGTCATGTGACTTACGAAAAACACAGCTTCCTGACGACTCAAATAAGGGGGCTATTGACCGATCTGGACGATCAATTGCACAACCTTTTGAACAATGACGTATTCATTAAGTGAAGATTATCGTAAATATCTGTCTTAAAACCAGGAACCAGATTCATCGGATATATATCAAGCCGATCAAAGATGAAGCATGTAAAGCATGGACCCTGGAGGGAGGGTTACTTGACTTCCTTGTGCTGTTTACATGTGTTATCACGTGACCCACCTGGTACTTGTCGGGCTTTATCCTCACCAAATAGACACACAGGAAAGTTGGATCGCGGAGTCTCTCACACATAGAAATACTGAGTGTGCAGGGAGGGGAGCTCGATAATTAGCTTTACATTCACATTATCCTCATGTAGAATAAAATATGTTGATCTTCCTTTCCCTCTCTCTCTCTCTCTCTCTCTCTCTCTCTCTCTCTCTCTCTCTCTCTCTCTCTCTCTCTCTCTCTCTCTCTCTCTCTCGTCAAAGATCTAAATTTCGAAGGAGAGTCCCATTCAGGACGATTTCTCTAGCCAATCTCATTACTTTATCTCCTATTTCCGAGATCCTAAGATTCCATTCCTTTGGACTGACGGTATTCAGTTGAATGGTGAGACGGAACGAGGCTCCTCCTGGTGGATCTGGTGGTGACATGGTCCCGCCTGCCATCCTCCCTCCCCACACCTTCACCAGACAGTGTCTCGAACAATGGCGCCCTGTAATTGGGCCCAGAATATAGGCCATTGTACCACGGTATCTCCCTGTAGTACCTCTACCCAGCCAGATTATTGTTCTGTCTTTCAAGCTGGTCAGACTCCACATAATCAGATGGATGAAACAATGTGTTACGAAATCACAATCGTTAGAGTAATAATAGAAGATTCCACGTGGTTCTAAACATGCTACCGGCGGGAATCGTTTTCTGGCCACCCAAGTTTTCATTACCACGTACTATGACAAATGGTCCTTTCAAAACTGTCCTTAAATTATATATCGCTGTCATAATCAAAAGTTCTCCACGTGGTATTAAATTAGAAGGGGCAAAGATTTCTGTCGGATTTCTGTCGCTCTAATGGTAATTCTTCAGTACTGGAGACGAATTAGATTCGCAAAACCTGCCCTGATGCTATCGGTAGTACTGAGTACAGTCTTGTAACTCGGTACATAATGACAGAAATGAATAGTGATATGTCCTCTTTGTAAAACGTATTGTTGTTCCTGGGAATAAATAGCCTCGAGGAGTCCTGCAGGCTCTCAAATATTCCGTCAAAAGCACAGAGCCGAGTGCTTAGTCATATACTAAGTTAACAATTTCTTCTCAAAACTCCTAAGCCGAGTGTCTGACCATGAGATGGAGCTGTGCTGTAAGTGTTGCACAATACTCTACAGTCTACAGCCTCGGCCCCGTTTAGAGCTCTGATGATCTCAGATGAGCGAAACAAAGCGAAGCTCTGCCTCAGTCACGTGTCCCCCAACGAACGGCTCTGCTTTAGAAACTCGATATGAAGATATGATACGGTATTGTTAATCATGTGGAACTTCATGTTTTAATCAGAAAAACTTTACAGGAATTGCCGGTCAGATATGCCTTTCATCTTGCTTATTATAGATCGAATCTTGGAGATAATACCGTTTTGAAACAGTACCGAATAATTGTAGAGTCTATTATATGTTCCTAGGGTACCATATGTTCTACAAATTGACTATCACATATTAAATATGTGCCCAGATGTTCTGCAAATTTTGCAGTCCAGACCTTTCAACGGCTAGATAATATAACATTTAATATTTAAACCGAGCTCAATATTTCAGCTCTCATTATAAAAGTTCACAGCCATACCAGATTTGAGTGCAACGCGGCAAGTTTAGAAAGAATCTGGTTCACACTGCAACGTATTATAAACCTGTTTGGCGCGAGTGTTCAGATTTGTGGAAAAAGCAGGTCACTACCTCCCCGGACTTTTAATGAGGAGATGTGAGTGATTAGCACAGGGCAATCTTTCCTGCTAATCATGTGTTACTTGATAGTTACATGTGACCGGGAATTTAGTCTACTTGGTTTGAGATTCCAGCACTCTCAGGGGCAACATGGCAATCGGCGTGTAGACACCTCCAAACTTCTTACATTTTCTCCAAGTTAGTTCACGGTGCAAACAAACGTAGTTTAGTTCATCAGATACCCCAAATACTGGGTGAAGGTAGTTAGTCGGACCGAACATCCGGGTATAGTGCGGTATGTTGGGGCCCCTCAGGGCTCTCAACTCACTCCTTCACCTCCCTCCCTAAAGAAAGTCTAATGTGACGCTACTTAATACCAAGGGGGCAAGGGACACGGTACGGTGTTTTATATTCTTCTTGGAGCGATGTCTCCTGCATATTTCCTGAAATTATTGACCCCGCTCCTCGCTCGGTGAACGACCCTCACGGCTTGATGTAATGTATCATCAGTTATAGTTGGAGAATGTAAATTTGATTTAAAGCTGTTTAGGAAATATATAGCGCAAACGAGTTATGGCTGCCTAGTGCCCACACCGTAAAGTGCATACAAGTTTATTTACCATACTGAGCAGCACTGGAACTAGCACTGGCACTCTGTTATTAAAACCTCATTGATTGGGTGGGTAAAACCACTTTCCCATGAAACCTAGACAGTGTCCAGTACATTGAGGTGGGGCCAGACAGGGGCCAGTACTTTACCAAAAATGTCCATATCTCGATTTGTCAGGTGGCACAATAACACGTAAAATACTAGGAACACATCAGGAAACTACACGTCAGGTTAAAGGTACCCGGCCTGTGCTCGTACACATATCCTGTACTACATTTTGAGGGTACGTGTAATCTTACCATCTCTGCCTTATATTACTTCAATATCCCAAACTCTATCAGACACTGTGCTGTATATTACCAAGTTTATAATGTACAGATCACCTTGGTATACGTCGTTTCATGTGTTCATGACAACCAAATATCATGGTTATAACGTTCTGGCAGCAGACAAAACCCTACCCCCGTTTACGCACAGGTTACCTGGTTACCTGGTTACAGATCAGTGGTGACTGATGGACCATAATTTTATTGGAACGTGTTGTGTTATGGAGGTGAAGTCATTCGTAACACAACTAGCTGCTGACACACTGCTTCATGTCGAACTCTTGAGGATATAAAGTCACTAAAACTGTGGGCAGTGCTGCAGTTGTCACATGCAAGGCTGTACTGTCCTAACTGAAAGTTAGACAGTGGTGTTAGTGTCAAACACTGATTAGGGGAGAATTATATTGGCCGACTTGTATGGGTTATCTCTCCCCAGCTTGTGCGGGAGTTCTAGCTTGTTTCCAATCTGCTGTAATGTTCTGACGAAGATTACAGCAGTGCCAGAACATTGTGCTGTATCCATTAAAGTGGACGTGTCAAAAGTTAAGTCATCAAGATACGTATCTGTGGTATGGACCGCCGTCTACATTCTAACAAGTTCTGGGTAGTTAGAAATTGTTTTAACCGATTGTGGCCGACCCCATGTCTCCCCTCCTAACTGGATGTAGAGCTAAAAATACCACACTAGAGAAGTTATGGTGTTGTAGTGGATTAACAATGTCTGACTTTAGGGTCACCCAACTCGCCTGTAAACCAAAGTCATTTGTCATTCAGTTTCAAATCCCTATGGTAACTTGTTCAGCGGCCGGTTCATAAACCCAGTAATGAATTTAATCAGAGTTTGGCTCTCTCCAATAGCTCGAGTTCCTAGCGTCTGGGGAATTATTATTACATATCCGGATCTTCTAAATTACTTGCTGGAAGAAGGTCACGAGCACCTAGTCTTCAGGGTTCCAGTTGGGTGTCCGGGGGCCTCCTCATTTCATTTTCAAAGTGACCTCGTTTCAGCTGCGCTGTAAATAAGATTTTCTAAATACTGATGTCATCACGAGACCTTGTAAGGGGGGTACTGATTGGCTCTCTTGTATTTTAGAGGTTCCTGATTGGTTATCATGTCGAACTGCATTCATGACAGACACTTTTTATATGACCTAGGCGGGGATGACTTATCAAATTAAATAAGTGTGAGTGTTGTTATGGTAATCCTACATTGAACGATGTAAAAAGATACGATCAAACATTAAAAAATTGGGTGAGAATTGGTACATTATTTGCTCCACATTCCTCCCATATCAGTAAAGACCGTTCGTTACGAATTTCGCAAAATTTCGTAATAGTAAATCCTTAAATGACTCACTGTACTTAAAGAAAGTACTATGATTTGCACACACGGCGCTCGTTGAAGCAGGAACGTTTCAGGATCTAATGTATGGCGCTGTCAATACCTCCGCAATGATTTAACGTCCTTTCGCTCTAGATCCACCAATTGAAAGCCATACAAGCTCCCTAACTCTTTCGGCTGTGTTGCCCGAAATTTCCCACAGTACTAAAATAAAATACTGACCTCCTCGGAGAGACCTTTTGAAATTTCACAATCAGGTGTTGTATAATGTATGAGGATTATCAAGTTATTAACCTTTCTCTTAGCTAGACTAAGCTACTGTTGCCAGAGCCTATATTGATCTGAGGCCTTAGGATGAGTTGCTGCGGTGCATTTTACTTCTCCTATATAATTGGTTAATTTTACTTGGTCATTTGTTACAAAGTGAACCTAATTCGGGGCCTGACTAATGTTTGCGATTTGCCGACAAAAAAGGGAAATTCTTAAGAATTGGGTGCTAGAACCCCAGACTCCTTTGAAATGCAAATCAGCTCGCCAATATCGCCAATTATCATCATATTATCTTATTATCTTATTATCATGTACACTGTTTATCGTTAACAGAGCACGGAGTGGTGTGCAAAGCCTGACCTCGAGTTTATCTCGCTATTGTTAGAAGCTCAAGTGATAAACAAAGTCTAGATAGACACAGAGATGAATTCTACTCTCACAATAACGACTATGATAATGACGTAGGAGGTTCGTTTACAAATGAACCATGTGAATTGTAAAGGAGCAGCTATTTCTCTTTGTTTTCGCGAACACTTAACGCCCTCAATGAGCATTGAGAGGAGTCTAGAATCTAGATAGAGATAATGAACTAAGTTGAGCAACAAACTTTTTGTTTTTCTGTTAAAAGGTTAAGACCATTCCGTTTCCTCAAATCATTAGCCAGAGATGTGTGCTATTACATATTTGGGTGCCTCATGTAAGTTTGGGAGACCGCATATTTATAAAAACAAGTAGTTTAATGGGTATGATGAGCCGCATTGTGACGCACCACCGCCGGTGCGGCAAGATGCGGCTGCCCCGCCGGCCCTCTCCCCAGTTTCAGAGCACATCAAAATATACAGTGGCTGGTAACTGGTTTAAAAGTTAGGAATGTGGAGTGTGGTTCATATTACGAGTGGGAGTGTCTCACTGTTTCTAAGTTTCTATTCCCGAATAAAAGTTATGAAATTACGGACTATTAGCTCGAACACAACCCTAACTATATCTCAATCTCCTCATTACGACCGCCCCGCACAAATCGAGTTTCTAAATTTATCTAACCTTCAGAGTTGGGAGCTGCGAATACTGAACGTGTTGAATTGGGACACGAGCGCGGTGCTACCGCACGACCTGTTAGACCACTTCCTCCACAGACTCCCGATACCAGATCAAGTTAAGAGCCGAGTAACCTACCACGCCAGAACCCTCCTCAACCTTTCATGTACCGGTAAGTTGTGTGTCTTTGGTTTTCTCCTGCGGTCACTAAACTTGACGTAAGGATAATTATGGATCACTCTCCTGCTTTGAAGTTGGGACAACGCCCGGTTCATTTCTCGATATTTTAAAACAAATTTAACAAATTTAGCTCTTAAATCAGAGTATCGTGAGGCGTTGCTCTTTTCCGTAATTTGACTTCCTACCACGCCTTCTGCAAACTTTGTACCGGCTCCATCGAAAAATTTAGATTTCAAGTGCACGATCGAAACAATAGGTACTCAAATTCTGTCACTTTCCCAGACATTTCCATTCTTCTTCCATACGTAAAATCGTTTCCCAACCGACTACAGTAATTTCTTGATTTTCGATGGCCCACAGTCATCCTGAGGGAGGGTTTACATATCACATCTGAATTTTAGAGAGGATGGGCTCTGAAACTGGGTGAAATGCTGACACTAATGTAATTTCCACACAATTTCGATATATGCTGATGGAGCATATGGAACAATCTTATATGACATAATGTGAATGTGGCCGAAAGTGAGGTGCTTGACTGTCCCTACATGTTATCTCCAAAACGTAGCACATACTGAACAGACGGCCGCAATTTAGCCCCCTACTCGTCTACTCTTACATAAAGTGCACCGTCCCTATATCACCTGCAGCCTTCTCTTATTCAGGACCCTTCACATAAGTTAATAAATTTCAATGTTCCCAGATACAGAGACAGTATTTTGTGTGGTATTTGATTGAATTTCCATTCCTCCAGATATTTTGTGTGGTATTTGATACAATATAATGATGTTTCGATAAATGGACCGGTGTGAGACGCCGGTTGATTACAAACAATAGGAACTCTTCGAAGGTCCCCACTAAGTGTTAATTGCCATTAATTTCACTACACGCGGCCGTCCTACGTACGAGACTTGATACACGTGACTGAACATTAACAAATCTGTACCATTTAATTTTGTATGATTGTACCGTTCGTTAATGATTCCATCAAATAATCATAGGCTGCTCACATCTGCTCTGAAATCTAACTATATTAAAATTTTAAATTCAAACAGGTAGCTAAAGTCAAACACAATGAAATTTCGTATAGGGTTATTTCGTTATGATCGTCAGATGCTACAGGTGTTTGATCATCATTCATCTAGTCAGTAAATTTGAAATTCATTTTTGGACCGTCTACCATTGGTTCATTTGAATCAATCTTAGACCACTCCCGCCAATCCTGAAAATCAAACGACTAAACGATCGACCACAAAATGAAATATGAGACTTCTTTGTTCAAATCATAATGTGATCAATTGCGCAAGCATGAATCATACTAAGACCAGTAAAAGTATTTTGCCGTTATTATATCGAAGATATACCACTAATACGTTAGTTATTTAAGATATTTTAGTTATTTGATCTATTTTTGATGAGTAAATTCTTTCAGAGTACATGTTTCTTCCTCACTCCAGTAAAATAATGGCTGCCGGATGTCTCTACGACGCTATATTCGCCCTCGGTTCCAAGTTTCTTGAGCTCAGAGGAAACGTTGTTCAACTCATGGGAAAATTCATCGAAATTGACGTGGTAAGAGCTTTGATGTACCAACTTTTTATTTTGTAACTTGGTATTCTCACTCTAAATGCAAAAGTGCAAAAATTTAATTGTCTTCCATAATATTAATAATTATGATAATTGTTAAAATTATAACTCTTGACCTTCAGAATAATAAAAAATTGACTCCACATTCCTGCGCTCTGACTTCACTAAAACATGAAAGGTTGTTTCACAGTCCGCTTTATAAATAAATAAAACAGATGGTGAGCTGTAAAAGGCTAAGGATACAAATAACGTGTAACGTTTTAATCTCCAATGTAAATATAGAAGGTGGCTAAGAGCGCTCTTTATCCACCGTGTGTCTTTATTAGATCACATAGGACCCTCTTTGGAACGGAAACTACACTGTTTTGAAGCGAACTTTAGAAGACTCTTGAGTGTACCGCAATGCTATTATATCTCTCTGTACATAGCCATTTATTGAATGTTAACGCTTTAAATTGAATTTACACTTAATGATATATAATGTAGAAACGAAACACTTATCCGTGGGAATAGCGAAACCCAAGAATCGTATTTTTGGTGATAGTTAGCTCGCCTACACGGACTAAATATTTAATATATGTAGTTCAAACAAAAGTTACGATAAGATTATAAGATTATCTTTTAATAAATGCGGTTCACATTCTTTAACAACTTAAACAACGATGTAATCTGAGCTGTGGAAAAAATCAAAGAAACGGTAAATAAACAATATTGAAACTTTGAAAATAAACAAAATGAATAATAAGCGATACCACAAAAGAACAAATGTAACCCCGTTATTAACACATTAAAAGCGCCATTTTATATTATTAAATTATTGAATATACATTCGTGTAGCCAAAATTTTATAATTCAATTCGGGTTTGATTATTTTCTTATCCCTCGTTTAATTTCAGGACGAATTTGAAGGCGTAGTAACAAAGATCAGAAAGCTTATGGAAAGCACACGCGGCGGCGGCGCCTCAAACGAGATCCCGCCCCTCTCCTTCTCAGAGAAACGCAGCTCCAGTCCTTCCTCATCGACACCCACCAACATCGAGGAGCTGTGCACCTAACACCCCCACCCTCAAACCCCATATAGTTCTTCAATTAGTTCAATTTCCTGCTACACGTAGCTCACTGTTTGCGCTGCCCGTGCAAAATGAGGTTTGCGCGAAGTTCGTTGCGCGGCATCTCGCATGGTGTCACGTACGTGGCAGTCGACAGTGGGGTGATGTGCCTTAGGTTATATTATATGAATATGTTGATTTAGGTTTAGGAAAAATAGAAAAAAACAATAAAACACTAAACTGTAAACAAGCGTGTGCGCTTAATGCTCTAATATAACTCAACAAAAAAACTTGTTTGGAGTTTGCTCTGCGTGTGAGAAAATGATAATTTTTACGCAAAAAGAAGTTTTTTTCAGTTATTTAACTTGCTCATAGTCTCACACACAAATAATATCGAGTGTAGACCTTCTACTTCTTGGTCCAACGGCACCCTCTGTTCATTTCTAAGGGATATCCTGTATCATGTATCTAGATACTATCAGTATCTCTCACGATCACCTATCCGTACCCCGATTTATCTGAACAGACATGTACCGTGGGACTGGGAAGTGGAGTGTCACACTCGTAGCTATTGACACACTGAACACTATTTTATTTTGGTATTTGTTTTAATGGTAAGGGTCCAGTCCACCTGGCATTTGCACTGGTGAGCTGTATAGGACACGGGTTACATTTACCTTTTTAATTTTTTAATTCGTTTTAATAATCACTAATTTATTATAATTATAATGATGAGTTCGCACTGAATATGTGTTTTAAATTTAAATGTCTACCTGTTATGATGATGATGATGCGGTGGGACAAGGTTATAATATATTTAGGCTACTTGATCTGTTTGCCAGTGTTTTCGCGAGAGAGAAGGGATAAGTTATCTATAAATTTGTCTGACGTACAGCAGTCAATGACGAATCGTAATTGAGAAGTTGTTGATGGGTTACAGCTACACGTTTCTTTTTTTCCCTCTACAAATAGCATGTAGAGCGATATTCAACACGTGTTCTTGCAAGTTATTGTGAAATGATTGTCTTCTGTTATTGCGAAGAAACCTTACATATGTCCGGGATAATTTATTGGTGGCAATAATTTCATTACTTGCAAGGACACGTATTTTCATGATATCAACAGACCTTCATTATAGGTTTTGTATTAGTTTTTTAAACCTAGGATTATTTTCTACGAAGAGTGGATGAGTACAAGAAAAGTGTGTACTGATATTGTAATGATATAATACTCGAGATGAGATTGAATGGCCAACACATTGACTCTGTCAACGGATTTAGGTATATATTTGAAAATTTGAAAAATAGTTTAACGATTACCCAGTGTAATGGTGTCTCGGTATTGATAATAAAAATGGACTCTAGTAATTGTTTGGTGACTGCTCAGCGCTACTTAAACCAGCTACTGTGGTCCACTAGAAACCTTTAACCACACATGATTTAACACACACCTTGACAAGTGACAACGTTTTCTTTTTAACTCAGTTAGTTGTAGCTGCAAGTGTAGCAGGGTAGTTGACGTGCTAACCTCACTTAGTTGTGAGTGCACGTCGCACGGCAGGGCCTCGTGGCCGGTATTTTGTCTGAACTTGCCTGGTACTCGGTCTGAACTTAGGTGCACGTGCGTTGTTTCTGGGCGGAGCTTCTTTTCTGATTTACGAATGTGATGAAGGGCTTGTGTCAACGTGTGTGCTGCCCTTAGTAGTAGCGTGTGGTTTTGGAGTTGGACACACTGGGTAGTTGTTATTATATTCTGCATTTCTACGGCTGGCGTGAGAATGACGTTACGAGGGGTACGTGCAATGTAATACTGAGACTTTTAGTGTTATATTTTTGGTGTTTGATCTTGAAACTTTCGAGGAGAAAACAGTGATAAATAAGGAAAAAAAGCAAATAATTATATGCTGATAAAAAAATACATAACGACAAGTTTGTAGCAAATTTTTAACTCTTTAATTTATGAAAGTCTTGATATACAGTTTTATGTGCAATTTATTTTGATGTTAGTTAATGCATTTGAGTGATACACACCGAATCGACAGATATGAATTTAGGCAGGTGCATAACCAAAGACAGTTTAAGAATAAAGCCGCCGTTTGACTTTGAATTGTTATCTAATTTAACATAATAATATAGTAAGGAAGATGACCAAAGAAAGAAATAGTCAATTGAAATGTAAATTTTGAATGTTGTTCCAATTCATTCCCCACCAACTTACTGTTTTATTTGTTTACTGAGGATGTAAAATGTGTGCTTCAGAACTGAGATAAGTGCCTAGTAAAAGTGTGAATGTTATTCTCAGAAATTCCAGGAATGAATTCGTGGAAAGTGATTATCCGTGTACAGTGTAGTGCATAGAAGTAAAAGTCTTCGCTTTTTCTATAGAATGTCATCGATCGCTTTCCAGACACGTTAAAATTGACAGTCAACCATCAACCGTAATATATGCCACCCTGATCTTATCAGTTACATCGCCAAAAACATAAAACATTTCACTCATTATTCTGCAGTGATGTGTCATGAGTGGTTACACTAACAAGTTAGCAACACTCAACACAAACATTAACATACCATTTATGCATAATAAATGAAGTTAGTACTTGTACGTCAGGATAGTCTTAAAACCCTTTTTAGAAGAACAAGACCACTCAATTATAATAATAAATATGCGAAATTGACCACAGAATTGAGTACAGACAGTTACAAGCCGCGCGCCATTTAGTAAAGAAAAATGGCTTCTGTCGTAGGTTGCCACTGACAATTATGCATGTGCTCTAAGTTTATGATCTATGACTTCACTAAAACCACATGAGCTTTTTAGTTGTAGAAATGAGAAACAAATCCAAAGTTGTAGGTCCCAAGCTGAACTAATTTGTGGTCACGACCAATTCAATACCCGAACTTTTTTGTGCATCATTTTTCAAATAAGCAAACTCCTCACTTCAATTCAAATATTTTGTAAAAATGACATTTTACACCAGCAATCAATATTATTTTATTTTGAACAGTCGATTTAAGCTAGTGGGCCGTATGTCATATGCTTTACTTTACGCACTAGTCCATAGTTTTCAGCTTGGAAAAGATTAATAAACTATAATCATAATAATGTATAATTACAAATTTATTATTACCTATTTAAGCTTTATGGTGCCCAACTTAAAATTGTAAAAAGATACTTTTCCAATGCATTATCTGACCCTGTTTTTGTGTTGTAATGAAAAGCCTGAGTCACGGAGAAACTTAGATATGATGTACATAACAGCATGATTGATGATGAATGAGAAACATTGTAACTTAAGTACAAAGTAGGCGTTGCCATGTAGCTCTCAATTAAATTGAGTCGAGTTAGCAAGACTGTACATGTACTAGATCATAATTGGATAATTTTAATGAGTTACTACAATTAAAATAATCAGTTAAATTAATAATATCAGGAATTTTAAAGCATCGGCGCGCAGCGGCAGCATCACTGATTTAATCAGAGCGCCGCGCGCTAGCCAAAATTCAACATCTTCAATACAGCCGATCTTGAAATCGAGCGCTCGTCCCTTCTTTAAGGGAAATGTCCCAACCAAATTATTCGTTTCCAGATGTGCTTCCACGCCGTCTAAACACATTATCCTACTTGTCGATGTTTTGTTATGAATCTGGATTTGAGAATTATGTTCCACGACGTGCTGCTCCAGATGGCTGTAATATTGATGACCCAAAGACACTGAATAACTTGATACGAGTCAGCAAGTTCTATGAACCGAATCCGAAATATCTGGAGCTTATCCAGAAGAACAATTTTACGATAGAGATGAGAAAGCAACTTACGGAGTGGATGTTTGAGGTGTGTAGCTTCAAGTTGAATGTTCGTCCTTTTTCTTGTTTATTACTATCGGTACTTGATAGAAATAAACAAGAAATTTGCGGTTTTTGGATGTCTCTTTGACTCAGAGTTGCTTTGTTTCGTCGAACTACTATTGTTTAAGATTAAATGTTCATTTGAAAATTTATATTTTCAAATCAATCGAGAATACGCCCCAGTTCCTCTTTGTGTACGGATTTCACTTGGGTAGGGAAAATTCCTAGTTACCATGCGTTTGATTTCTGTGAGAGTTACAGTAACAATATGTTGAATAAGATCGAACCATAAATGTGGACACAATTACGTCATCATCTCAGTTAGGACAGTAAGCGGTCTCCTTTCACCATGTTGCTATGACGTCAGTTCACTACATATCAGACATGCCTCATCATATTTCATATTAGAACATTGTCTCCCGTCGTTCAATAGAATAAAGGTCTATTTGAGCGTTCCCGTCGTAATTATATTGTACATGGGTGGCAATGTTCCGGACTCCTTATGCGTTCTAATGCTCAATGAGAGTGGAATGCTTTTAGTATGCAGTTATACATTCGTGGGATTGCGATCATATTTATCGGCTGGGAATCATGGAATGAGAATATTTGTATATAATTTCAAGAGAAAATACATACAACATGTCCGTGACGTGATACCTGGGCCTGCGTGGGCTGTTGGTTTGATAAGGTTCACACAATCTTATCAAGCCTGACATGCCCTTATTTCTTACTGAAATTACGAAGTAATAAGATTTGTGGTGAGGTTTGGGCTGACTCGACTTTATGTTGGTATGTAAATGTTACACATGTTCAGGGGGCCGGCAAGCTGCCTAATCTATAAAAACATCTTTACTTATCTTAAAATTGGTTGCTAGCTAATGAGTTTACCGGTATACCACTGTCTTCTGATAACTCAAACAGAAATATTGTGTTTAACAGTAGGTACGCAGAGAAAGCTGTCCTGCAAAATTGTTCGCTATAAAGTTAAAAGTCATTCCACTTTCATGAGTATATACAAGTATCGTAACCTTGAGTTGTTGACTTATTTTAAAAGTTGTCACTGTAACATTTCGCAATTGTGGTTTCTCCATGCACTGGTTCATATGCGTTAAATGTCAAACCTTTCTGCGTCATCCTGTCATTGAACGATTAAATGTATCCAGAAAATTTACGGGATTCCATAGAACCTACATATTTGACCTAATGTAAACCATAAAAATCCATGATCTTATGATGGGATTGTTTATTATGTTGCCTTAATGCGAATTCATAATCTAGCAAAATTATGATAACGGTCATATTTCAAACAATAACTTTCACTCCACAACAAATTATCATAATATATTAACCCTGGCTCAGCGAGCTTTGTCGCATCATCGAAATCATTGAATATAATTTGCATTAATGTAATTATCTAGTTATTAACCCCTTATCAATACATTTCAGATCTCTGACGTATGCGAGGAAGGAGTATTACCTCATGCAGTTAACTTATTAGACAGATATCTCTCTAAAGCCACCGTATGTTGATACACTGCCACCTATTCAGCCCCTAAATTCTTCCAAATATTTGACATATGGTCGTTGATGTACTTTATACCGCATGATATAATGCAGTCTAAACGAGTTGATCTCCCAATTTTCCTGCCAAATTTCGTGGCCCTGAGGTTTATACCACCCAGGTTGTGTCACCCCGGGACGATTTGCAAGTTATCGGAGCTGTGTGCCTGTTCCTGGCCAGCAAACTCCGAGAGAACCAACCCCTACCTGTGGATAGATTATGTGAGAGTGGAAGTTTTAGCTACACCAGCAAGCAAGTCAGGGTTAGTTAACAGTTTCAATATTTTAAACATTATTCAACACCTATAGTTTCAACCATTTCTCAACTCTGTAACTTTTTAATAACGTATCGTTAAAAATACCGTTGCGCCGTGCTCGTTACAACCAAGTTTTAAGAGGACGCTAATTCACCACAAGATTCCGCTTACTCAAGCACATAGCATATTAGGCTGACCCAGTGGGTCCGTTGGGAGTACTGTGACAAATTGGTCTGTCACAAGCACCGCCCCACAGACTTTCCCTGAACGTCTGCTAGAGAAATGTAAACATGCTGCATCTTTCATTCTAATATGACATTTTATGTACGTATGGGAGTTTGAATAAAATAAAATTCCGTTGAAGCACTGCATTTTTGAAAAATGCAGAAAGATCACAGTATATCTTAATCCTTTGTTCAGCAGACAAAATATTAAAATCGTTTTGGTCCATAGTATTTAGTATTTTGAAAATTTGGATGTAATGATACATGATAATAAGCTTTCTATTAACTCCTTTCTATCGAATTTGATAGAATTGCAAACAATAAGTACAGTGTGTTTCAAGATAATTAAAGCAAATCTCGCGGAACACACTAAAAACGTGTTTCCAGTCTACACCGCCAATTAACTGAAGTCTTAGTAATGTTCATGTCTAGTTTATCGTCCTTGGCAGACTTTTAGTCTTTCATAACGCCACCCACTATTATATTGAACTTATACACTTTCTTTTCTATAGAAGTCAGCAAATTTGAAAGTTTTTCAGCAGAAAAATTACAAGCCAAAATCTGATTCAAATTTTGTGATAAATCTGAATCAAATTTATCACAAAATTTCCTGGGCTCCATCATTTAACCTAACACCTAAGTGAAGAGATGAGTAAGGGAAATATTGTACAAGTATACTTACAGTATCTGTAAGTAGAACAGCATGAATATTCACAGACTGAATCAGGATATCTGGTTAACAGATGGTCCTAGACACACCAAACTAACACTTGGCCAAAAGCACACCAAAATAATCAATAATATAAACACGTCACTCATCAACAATAGACAAGACTATAGAACCGCAGTCCACCTAATCACGGGCCACTGTGGCTTAAACAAACACCTTCACACCATCCGCAAATCTAGTACCAGTGCTTGTCCTATGTGCGGTGACGGAGAGGAAACTGTCTCACACTTTCTTGGACAGTGCCCAGCTATTGCCCAACTAAGAGGTCAATACTTTCGGGACTACTACCTCTCGGTCAACGACATATTCGACAACCATCACATTACCACAATCGTCAACTTCACAAACCGCACCAAACGCTTAATAGTACCAGAAGAACTGGATCAGACTGGCGTAACTTAGCGCATTAACACATCACATTTGCAGCCTTGCCTAACTGATCTATAAACTCATCTGGTACCAAAGCGCGGTATTCCCATTCAGATCATTACCACCACCGTCCTCCACAATTCACACTGTTGTCTCCAATAAACCCCCCCTCATCCCAGAGGTAGGCAAAGCATCTTAATGCTATCCTCTAGTGGGCTTTCTATGCCCAGCCTCTCTTAAAAAAAAAAAAAATAAAAAAAAAAAAAAAAAAGCATGAATATTCAATCATGAAGGAAACATTTTATGTATGAATCTCAGTAACGCCTATAATTTGAACGTTTGGCCGTTAAATGCTTCCCTTGTTTAAACGGTTTTAAACCCCAATATTGCACACACTGCTTACAGACTCAAATTATTCATTAGGTGAATAAGAGGCGAATCTATCACAATTTAGATTCTTCTCATTAATACTTGTCGGATTGGGACCTCACCCCTAGCAGATTGCTTACCAACTGTTTAAGTTGAAAATAGCTTCAGAAATACCTCATCACGTCCAATCTAATCCTTTATGAAGGCTCATTACGACTATAGACTATAGAGGCTCATAACGACTAACTGATCGCTCTATTATCACCACAGAAATGTATTTGTACGTCATGCAAATTGCAAAACTATGGTAATACGTCAGCCCTCTTTTTAATTCAGACTACTCGATCTCGTCCCTAATTTAATACAGAATTTGTGCCTGTAACAAATGAAAGCTGCATTTTTTGTCTAAAATGAATCTTATTTGTAGCTGACGCTCCAAGAAAAATTGGAGCGTTTTCGAATTTTAAAACGACTGAAATATAGTGGAGTTGATATTTCTACATGAATGTTAATGTCAAAGTCTGGCTGAGTCATTCAATTGGAATAATTGATTCACAACCCTTTTATTGAGGTCACGCGGACCCAAATCTACATACACGGAACTTACAGTTCTGGCTGTGGTATTTGGTATCACATGGTATTTGGTATCACATGGTACATAGTTCATACATTCTCGGATATAAATAACCTTGGACAGGTGTCCTCGAGGAAAAATGGAAATGTATTGTTTGGCATAAAACCACATTAAACGTTGCAATGTACGATATTATATACGGAATCACACACAACTTCTTATTCGTTAAAAAGTACTCGAATACGGGTACCAATCTGGGGCTGAATCTAGAAGTAGAGGTTTCCGATTCCTTAGCATTTCCTCAGGCCACTAATCAAGCGACAAGAATGATTTTCTAGGTCTATTTGGAATTTCCAAACATTCCGGTTGCATATTTGCAGTTTTGGAACTTTTTAGAGCCACTGAGAAGGTGTATAAGATATGTGGGGTAATCCTCATTGGGAGCTTGAACTGTGATCTGTGATCAGTACCAAGTGGAGCCTCTGGATCAATGACTCACACCGAAGCATTTGCAGTATTCAGAAAATGTGAACTATTTACCTTCCAATACTTCTCACTTAGAAGCGTCCTAGAAGCGATTTTTGAGCAACTTTTGCGATGTCACTGGGCAAAGGAAATGCGGGCGTATTTGAAGCTTTAATCAGAACCCGCAGCCAATAATACCACCCTGGACAATGTACATTTGTTGTGCAATGTGTACAATTAACATGGTGTCGTGGTGTGTACGGGGTGGCTAGACTACATCCTGGCTGGTGGGATGTGGGGCTCGTCTCCTCCGAATATTGGTACCAACTTAGCTGCTATTTCAAATTCTCGTTGCACTAAATTTCACATCTTTACCGAACTTCTCATAGGTTCAAATATCACATACTTCACATTTCATCTGTCTTTACATTTCATCTGTCTTTACATCTCGCTCCAAAGAGTTAGAAGTTATTTAGTACCATCGCTCCCTCAAAGGTTTCCTTATCAAGTTCATACAAACGGTTATATTTTTGATCATACACTCGTATATCCGGGGGACCCTGCTTCAAATATTTAAACTCTCAAGTCTCAAGCACTTCCTGGCTCTGGTTACGAGCTTGCTCCGCTGCTTCAACATGTGTGGTGGAACTGGAGACAGAGAATTCCCTGAGCTAGAGACCCGTTATGTCGTTTGGTCTCCGTGGGAGTTTTCCTTTGTGGATGTTTCCGGGGTCCAGGCTGGTTTTGTGCCTGGTACTTGAGAAATTATTAGAATAATTAGTATGTACCCATTTTATGCGGTGGTTATGGTTCTCAGAGGTGGATGCCAATTGGCTGCGATGGATCGTGATTAATATGAGATTGTGTGATTTGTGACTCCACACCCGGCCCCGGTTTAAAATTCTTTCGACAACAAAATGCAGAAGCAGATTGAAATGTTAGAACTTCAGGTCTTCAGAGCTTGATTTTTGCTTCATATACATGATATATATGAAAGCTGGTATGTTGATTTGTCAGATATGTATTACTGTGTACACGAGGCTGTTAGCTACACGATCTCCAGGTCAACAGAAAGGTCAGTGTTTTGGCTAGTGAACTGTTAAAGAAGTCAAAGGGTGTAACGGCTGAGTTTTGGTGTGAGGAATAATACCGACCGATTAAATTTGTTCCGCTCATGATTCAATTTAATTCTTTGATTCTTTGTCCGTCCACAAATTAGTCCAAATTAGGGTAAAAATTCGTTAGATTCGGCGTTATTAAAGCCGCAATTCCATCTGAAATGACAAAGATCATTCAGGTTCAATCCTGTTTGTTGTTATGAGAATGAGTTATGAGTTATAAGAACGGGGTGTAAGAGCGGGCTATAAGAACGGTCACGCGTTCCTAATAAATGATCCTTAATAAAAGACCTCCTCGTTTGTTTGACTAAATAAATTTTCCTCGGTTGGGAGCAGGCTAACTTTTACCATGGTCACCATAGTTTTAAATATTTTTGGGACCCGATCAATTGTGTTCAGGCAATTAAGAGAATCGCTGACGTTCCTGAAATACTCCGGTTACTAAGGAAACACAAGGTCGGAGTGACGCAACATGTTTTGAGGAATGCAGATCGCCAATACTCCTACATGAGCATTGAGCAGGTTAAGCAGCAGTATTATCGTTAACATATTGAAACACAGCTCTTATCACTGAGCCCTTGTTATCGACTGTAAACAATGATCGCTAGATATATGATAGAGGAACATCAAAGTATCACGCGAGTTGCGATGAAAAGGACATTCTCACTGATGGGAGGGGTTGATATAATATACTCCCTTGCCAACCACCGGGTATTGTTTTTGGGATCACAATAATCGTACCTGTTCTTAGGCTAAATTACCGGCCAAATGAATTTAATGCATTCCCGTCGGCGAATTAACGAGGTATAGCCATCCTGGTACTGTTTTTTCTGAGCTGTAGTAGCTAAAGAACGGGCCTTTCTTTTGCTTTTGAATTCTTACCTCCAAAAAAATGAAGTGGACGTGAATCACTAGTTTCATCGGATTTACGTACTCAAGTTCGACACGCACTATAGTTCGACAACTTAAGTGATCCACCGGCTATTGCCGGGTCATTATTATAAGATCACTGGGTTCAATGGCAGATAAACCCAGTGAGTATTGGGTACGGTTACTAGTTGATTGTGATAATACATAAAATGTGTGGTATGTGGTAGATATTTTATAGCGTACTCTACAAGTATATAAAACGGAGTACGAGGTCAATTGAATGTTCA